CTCAACCAGCACAAAATTCCTTGGAGTAACAATCAAGGACAACCTTCCTTGGGATATTCACATAGATACTATGTCTAAAAGAATATGCAAAACCCTAGGAGTTATAAGCAAAATTAAAAATAAATTAAATAAACCTACTCTAATTGACCTGTATTATTCGTTAATCTTTCCTCACCTCATCTACTGCAACGTAATTTAGGGAAACAGTCCTGACATTCATCTGAAACAGTTAACAAAATGCCAAAACCGATTCATCAGAATATTTAAAAATCTTCATCCTCATTGTGACACAAGTGAATATTATCTCGAGATGAAAATACTCAACATCAAAAACTTGTTCATCTACCACGTTGCAACATTCATTTTTAGATTTCTACGTCAGCAATTGCCGGCATTTTTTTAGAGACTTTTTCACTTTTGGAACTTCCATTCAAGCAAGAACTACACGCCACACGCCACTTTTCTATGCTCCACCAGCCAGAATTAAAGTACTCTGCATGAGTTTGAAACACACCGGCCCAGGAATATGGGAGACGATTCCACAAGAAATTAAAGATTGTAACACTTTGCATCTTTTTAAAAATAAACTGAAAAATTTTTTAATTACGAAAAGTTCTGTTTTTAAAGGATAATAATGTATATGTAAATATATGTATATAAGTGTGTACATATTTCATTAACATTGATACATTTTCTCCTATTGACAATTTTATTTTACCATTGAGAAGCTATTTTGAGCTGCACGGTGGCCGAGCCCACAAGAATTAATTTTCTGTTTTTGGTCTCCGAATCATTCATGCTTTTTGTTTTGTTTGATTGAATAAAAGTGATTTAATTTGATTTGATTATATTACAATTATTAAATTTATTATTATTTTGAATAGATTGAAAAAGTCCTTAAATCCCAATGTTCATAAAATTAATATTATACATGTCTTAATGTATAGAATATATAAATATAGAATGTCCCATATGAAAGATCCTGAACAGAAACTTCGTAACGAAAAAAAATCTCCTTTATTCATAATAATTCAATTACATGATAACATTTTGAGACAACATTCGCGGACCTCTTGCATGTTATTACAGCACATATGACTTGCCAAATTTATCTATTTTGGAGTTATGTTATTATTTTTTGTCTCGTTTCATGTACTCTTTAGAAATGTCGGCACGTTTTTAAATTTTTTAATGCTTCTTTTACTCGCTGGTCGCTTGCATCGATTGCCTGCCTGCTTGCTTTTCTTCCGTTTTTTTCATTTTTTGTTTGTTTTTCATTAATATGCTTATGCTTGTTGCTATTTTTTGGTTTTTTTTGTTTGTTAGGTCCTTGCATTTCAATTCGATTTCTCCAAAATTGGCATCAACATTTTTTTTATAAGTGTCATAAAACATTCACGTGCAGAATTACATCGAAACTGAGTGACTCTCAGACATATCCTCTGTTGTGTTACATTCACATATTGATTGCACCGTGTGATATGTGTGTGACTGCATGTATATTATAAAATCTTTCACGCCTAAAATGACTATGTTACTATTTTTAGCTTTGTAACAAATAAAATTTGTATATGCTTCAACATTTTTAAATTTTTTAGAATTTGCTATTTGATACTTTTATAACGCTGCATGCTTATGATTAAATTGGGTTGTTAAACATTTAATATGTGGCAACTGACTTTCATTCAACTAACATCTTCTCTCCACTATATCTAACATTTCAAATTTTCAGCTTCTAATTAATTTCATATAGTGCTAAGTATTTGGGATGGTAATTTCAATGAGTTAACTATCAATTTTTCACGTTTTCAAAATTTTGAAGTAATTTAAGCGCAGTTTTACTGCCCTTCTGAATTATTACAATCCTTTTACACCATAAAATATTTCAATTTTTTTTTAATTTTCGAAAGCTAAAGTTTAGGTATAAACGTTTACTTATTCATATTTTTAAATATTTATGGAATAATTTATTTTTATCTTTTAAAAAAATCTTTGAAAATAAATTTTAAAATAGAACAAATTATTAAAATGTACTGGAAATTTTAAAAACTTTATTTAATTTATTAAGTTTTATTTCTTTATGTAATCTGTTTTTATGCCTTTCATGTGTGTTGCTTTGTTGTTAATTATTGTTAATTATATTTTTACTATGACCAGTTTCGTATTTGTATTATTCATTCATAATTGTTATATTATTATTATTATGAGCCATCATTCATAATGGCTATATTAAATAATTTGTATATGTATTTCGTGTTAATTAATTGTCCAATAAGAAATCTAGTTATTAATTTCTAAAAATAATTTTGTCTTTGTCCTTTGTTTAGAATTCGTAAATTCGCAACAAATTTTGTTTGCAAGTTTTGTTGTTGCAGTAACCATTTATGCTGATAATGAAAATGATGTTGTTGTTGTTGTTGCTGTTGCTGTTCTTGGTAATGACAATGATATTGTTATTGCTGTGATTGTTGGGAATGTTGTTATTTTTGTGATTGTTGTGGTTGTTGTGGTTGCTGTAGTTGTTGTGGTTGCGATTATTGCAGTGGTCGTTGTGGTCGTTGTGGTTGTTGTGGTCGTTGTGGTTGTTGTTGTTTTTTTTTCCCGCACCACCCATCTAGGCTTACAAGTAGTCTTAAAGTCCATTCTAAAAGCCATGGCCCCCTTGCTACAAATTGCCTTGTTAGTCCTCTTCGCCATCGTCATATTCGCCATCATTGGACTCGAGTACCTATCCGGTTCCTTCCATAACACGTGTCGGCTCATTACAACCGGTTTGTTTGCTGTGTATGTCTATTATGTGTGTGTGTTTGTGTGTGTGTGTGGTGTGTGTGTGTGTGTGGTTATATGCGTTTGTGTGTATTTAATTTTTAGTGGTTATTTTTATTTTGGCCTTCTTATGTTGCTTCTTTTTTACAATGATATTTGTTTGTTTGCTTGTTATCGTGATTAACTACTGAGTTATATTTTATTCTTTATCCCCAGTTGTTACATACATGTTCTCTGCATTAAATGTCGCGGATTTTATTTGTGGCATATCTTTCGTTGTTTGTTTTTATTTTATTAGTATGAAATATCAGGTTGTTGTCGTTGTCGTGTTGTTGTCGATGTTGTTGTTGTTGAACAACACGAGGACGATGACCGGGTAGATGTTGATTGTGATGACAACGATGATGACGATAATATGATGATAAGGAATGTAAAAATGGTATGAACATGATGAAAAAATAATGGTGATAATAATGAAAATAACCTACTAACCATTAGAATGTGATTATTTATGATCTTCACGTTCAAATGTGGCATAATGTCATTAGTGCCTCGGAAATATTGATTTAAATTTTTAATTTTGTTCTTTTTTATCTTTCTATTCTTTTCATTTCATTCTCTCTTTCTCTCTCTCACTTTTTTTTCAGCTTCTCTCTCTCTCTGACTCTGTTTCTCTTATCTTCTTTTCTTCATCTTTTTTCGTTTTATTGATTGTATTTTTCTGTTGAGTTTCTGTTTTTTTCTCAGTTTTATTTTCGTTGAAGTTTTATTATTTTTTTCATCTTTTTTTTCATTTTTTTTCAGTTTTCCCTTCTCAGTTTTTTCTATTTACATTTTCCATGTTTTATTTTTTGTTTGAAAAAAATGAAGCAGTGGGTCATTTGAAGGGTAAAGTTGAATCGGCTGAGCGCTGCTACCTACCGTTCAAATAATTTGTGTGCGCTTGTCATTTTCAGAGATGTTCATTTTACTCTAACTTTTATGTTCTTTTTAATGAAAAAATATTTGAAATTAAATAAATAACACAAAAAATATATGTTCTTGGATGATATAATGTAAAAATAACTTTTCTATGATGATGGTGATGGTGATAATGATGATGTTAACGGAGAAGAAGACAACGATTATCAGGATGAAATGATGATGTTAAAGACGACGACGATGATGAAGATGATGTCAATAGTGATGATGATGACGTTAATATTAATCTAACGAATGTTAAGAATAACGGTGATAACTATGGTGGTTAAAATGATGTCGCTATCTATAAATATAATGACAAGACATTGAGTACCAGGCCAAGTTTGAATGTTTTGCCAAAAAAAAAAATTTAAATACAGCATTAAAACTATAGATAATATTCAATTAAATTTTAATAGAACCAATTAAGAAACTAATATTTCGATTTTTTTAATAACGCCTGGATATATGAGAAAATAGTTGCCAGATGAAATTAAACTTTTGTGGGTATGTGTTAATAAAGAGAATTGCCTATTTCATGTTGAGTGGGCTATAAAGGCTGCCAGGTACTTACAGCGTTTTATTGTTCGTTCATGTGTCCGTAGATCGGAGCAGCTCCTTCAATAACCCGCTACCAAGCAGTTATTACTTTCTACTAGCTACTTTAATACGTCCGCCTTTTGTTCCAATACCAAGTTTTGGTATTTTTTATTGTTGGAAAATGAAAAAATTTTACCATAAATTAGATTTTAGCAATTTTTTGAGACAGAAAAGACTAATTTTGTAATGAAAATAGGTAAATGTACGACAGTACTTGTTGTGCTAGTTATAGCTCCATACGGTCTCCCGCTTGTTTGGCAAATAGACAAATAATAATAAAAAAATGTACAACTGGTATATAACATTACTTATAGAAATGTAATGTTCTACGTTCTCTACACGAAACTATGCACATACGTGTACGCGTTCACACACACATACACACACAAACGCATACACATACATTTATACACACAAGCACACACAAACTCGCACACGCACACACACATTTGCACGATCTCTACAAAGTACACCGCAGCTAACATCTCTGAATGAACCAACCAAGCAGCCATAGTGCGGCGGTTTAAATCTAATTTAATAGAATTTTCTATTTGCGCTGAGAAGAATGCCTTGCAATATTAATGTCATATCAAACGAACATCGTTCGTGTCGGGAGAACCATGATGGATGGATGCAGCAGGTTCAATAGACTACGATGTTCGTTTGTGATGTTTAGGTAAGATCTATTCAGTTGCGCTCCTTCTGTACAAGTTAATTTACTCAAACATTTATTTCAAATTTTTGCCGAGTTAAATTCAGAACAGTCAATTGAAGATTTATAATTCCATGTTTTGAATGTTGAATATTCAGAATTTTAGAGAACTTTTCTTGGAATAGATTTCGAATGTTAAAATGCAATCCCGTCGTCCATTGCAAGCCTCCCATCGGCGTTCATTCTTTCGGCCGCTTCATAAATAAATTCTTATCAATCGCATGAAAAAAATCCAACACGACAAATTTATCGGAAGATTTTTCACAAATCCTTTCGATAAAATATTTTAAACTCATAGAATAAACTTGCGACAAACATTTAATAATTTACGAATAAAATAATTTTTTCTTTTAACACATAAAATAGTTTTATTAGTAAATTTATTTCACTAAGCCAACGAAATCGAAATAAGTAATATATAAATAGTATTTAAATATGATAATATATATTTTTATTAATCGTATAATAATTCTAATAGAATAAAATAAAAATGTAATGATATAATTATGTTTCGTCAATCCAACTAACCAGACGAGATAGACTTGGTAGGAGAGGAAGAAATAACTCCATGCCAAGATGTACCAAGCTCCCTTCTGGGTCAGGGGTTCATCTGCCCCGAAGCAACCTCCACCTGCAAACCTTATTGGGAGGGGCCTAAGCATGGAATTATCAGGTTCGTTTGTTGGTCGATTGGTTGGTTGTTTGGGTGGTTGTTTGTTTGTTCGTGTATGTGTGTGTGTGACGTGTTGTGTGTGTGTGTGTTTGTCCGTGTATGTGTGTGTGTGTGTGTGACGCGTGATTTTGTGTGTGGATCTGTGTGTGCGCTGGTAGATGTGTGAATAAGATTGCTTTTAAGTTAAAACTATCGAATTTGCTAATTTGTAATAAATAAAAGTTGAAATAATTTATGAATTATATTTATTTTTTGTATAAAAAAAAATAACTTTTTTATTTATTTCTATTTATTTCAAACAAAATTTTGAAAAAAAACCCGCAAAAAAATTGAAATAAAAATTGAAACCTTCAGCTTCGACAACATCGGATACGCCATGTTGACAGTCTTCCAGTGTATAACGATGGAAGGATGGACTACTGTTCTCTATTATGTGAGTGAATGAGTGAGTGAATGAGTGAGTGAGTGAGTGAGTGAGTGAGCGAGCGAGCGAATGAATGAATGAATAAATTAATTAATCATTAATTTTATCAAATGATAGATCGATGGTTGTGTGACACGCATAAAAGTTCATAGCGCACACAATGATGTACAGAATGGAACACTCACACACACTCATACAGACACACACACACACACACACACACACACACACTCATACACACACACACTCATACACACAGACCAATGATGCATTAGGCAGCCACTTTCCTTGGCTGTATTTCGTTACGCTGATCATCATCGGTTCATTCTTCATGCTCAATCTCGTGCTAGGTGTCCTTAGTGGGTCAGTTCATCCATTCGTGTTCATGGTTGTCAACTTATATTATATCTTCACCTGCAAGTCTGATAAATCAGTTCTGTAAACAATTTAAACAATATTATAATTCTGAACTATTTTACATTGTTCTACATCGATTGCTATATATTTTAGTTTTCTACGCCTGTGTATGCTTTTTTATTTCAAAAATTCTCACTACTAAAATTGACCGCAACCTAGCAAAACGGGTATGAAACTCCACTTCAAATGTGTCAGTAGTCTTAAACGTTGAATAAGAGAGTTAGTTTTTAAAAGGGAGACTTGCTGATGTGAACATCTGTATTAGTTGATATGTATACGCATACGCACACACATGCACACGTGCGTGTAAATAACGTAATATACGATAATCATAGTTAAATACACAAAGCGTACGTTTGTTCAGGTCCGTATTTGTTTTGGACCTATCGTTAAAAATTTGTTTGCCTTTTTTGGTTGTATGTTGGTGTAATGTTCTTGAGGTATTGTCTTTTATATTTCTGGTACTTTTTCAGCGTTCGATATTTCTATTTGTTTCATTTTTTTAAAAAATGTGTTTGCATATTTGCATCATATTTTATGAGCTGTTTGTTTTTTTCACTCTCCATCAGATGTTCTATTGCGCCTAATTTGTTTACATTCCCATCATTTCCTACATGGCGTCTGCCTGAAGTCGCTGCTTGGAATGGAATCTCGTTGGAAGATTTTTAAATTCATTAAAAATTTTAGATGAGAATTTAAATAACAATGTAGAATGAGCAACAAACTGGACTCTCTTACCGGTAGAATTTTTCAGTAATTCATTGTTCGTTGAAAATGAATAGATGAAGTTATTGATTAGCACGCACATGCACTCATTGCAATAATGAACGAGTTCATAAAGAACAAATACATTAAAATAAAATACAACAATGCAAAGAGCAATAACATCAACATAGAATACAACAATGCAAAGAACAATGACGTCAACATAGAATATAACAATGCAATGAGCAATGACATCAACATAGAATATAACAATACAAAAAAACAACAACGTCAGAAATCGAATTAGTTAATTGTTTTTTCGTTCACTTGTTCTTTCTTTCACGCAATTATCTCTAGTAAACAATTTTTCATAGGCTTCAAGCACCCAAGTAAATACAAACAAGTGTAAACATGTACAAAAAAAATGAACATGTACAAACATTTACAAACATATACAAACAAAATGAACATGTACAAACAATTGAAAAAAAATGTTCAAGTCCATGGACACAAAATTACACACAACACATGCAAACACACGCAAGCAGCGTAACTGCATGCAACGTGTACAAACATGTATGTGTGTAGTGGCATGCAAATAGATGCAAAACGTTCAATCTGTACAAACGTACAATCCTGTATACAATTACAAGAGATCAGGAACAAACATGTACTAATTGTGAATGTGTACATTTTCATTCAAACATTCAAAGTTTGTCTAACATTAAAACACGCGTAACATGCATAATACAAACATGCATACGACACACAGACACGATATTTTATAGAAGTATATAACTGCCTTTGCACACATGCTATTGTAGGCACACGCATATAAATGCGTCATCAGACATAAGTAGGTATATATGAAGTTAAGTATTAGCGAACCAAATAAGGAAGGTGTATAAGTATCATACAGCACTTATGCCTTACATATTCATCTATCTGGACCCAAAAACACTCACGTACAAAGAAATATGCCTAAATACAGAGCAATAAACTGTGGTGCATACGCAACGGCATACGTGATGACACACCAGGCAGGCGTACACGCGAGTCTAATCTAATGGTGCAACGAAGCGCTCACTAACGATTATTTACTCATTACGCGTTAAATCCACCAGTCCAGCAACACAATATGCAATATGCATCCGTTCCTTTCTCTCCTTCCTTCTTTGCTTGTCTACTTGACTGCCTCTCTATAGCTATTTGTTTTATCTATTTTGTACGGTTGCATTCCGTGTGTTTGTTGTGTGTGTGTGTGTGTGTGGTGTGTGTGCGTGTGTGTGCGTGTGTGTGTGTGTGTGTGTGTGTGTGTGTGTGTGTGTGGTGTGTGTGCGTGTGTGTGTGTGTGTGTGTGTGTGTGTGTGTGTGTGTGTGTGTGTGTGTGTGTGTGTGTGTGTGCATGAGAACGATGTTCAGTCAAAAAGTTTCGTTGTCTTGTAAAAAATTAAGCATGTAGGACGTTCGATCCTGTGATGTTTGTACTTTTTTTAGCAATATGTCGTTAGAATTTTTCGTCTGTATGTGAAATTCTCTGAGCAAATATGTTTTGTTTGTATTTGAGTCCGTTCGTGTTTGTGCCTGTGTGCTGTTGTGTGTCGCTGTTCTTCAATGTTTCAGTGCCTGTGCCTTCGTGGGATCGTGCATTTTATTTTCTTCATTTCTATTTTATTTAATTGCTTACAGTGAATATAAAATTGAAAAAAAAATTTGAACGAAAAGTGTTTTGCAATAAAGCAGGCGACTTCAAAAATTTTTTTATTTAAAATTTTAAAAAAATTTCATTCCTGAACTTTAAAAATTGTTAAAATAAATAGTTTAAAATAAATTCAGACATTTTGACAATGAATTTTCCCGTCTTACACATCCCGTCTTGCCATTTTGGCAGCAAATTTTTTAATTTATTCTTAATCAATTAAATTGTTTTTCCAACATATACTCATTAAATATATTCAAAACATCTAAGTGAATTTGCAAAAGAGAGAGAACGAGTAGAAAGTAGGAGGGCTTTCTTGAAACTACGGAAACAACAACAGATCGAACGGGAACTGAATGGATATCTTGAGTGGATCTGTAAGGCTGGTCAGTCAAACTTTTTCTATTTTGTTTATTATTTCGTTTTAAATTTTTTATTTGGGCATTTGTTCAATTTAATTTTATTTAAAATATATACAATAAAAAGCGTTTATAACAATGCTCAAATGTCACTCTCTGCATCTAGCTTTTCTTATCATCGCCATCTTTTAATTTATATTTTTAATCATCGTCGTCATCCCCATTGTTTACGTTTCAAAATATCATCATCGCCATTGTCAGTCTTATCTTTCATCATTTCATCATTTCCTTTCAGCATTCCTTACCTCTGCGTGATTTTCATTTCATTCCATCATTCCTCAGAAACTTCTTTATTACATTTTTTTCTACTCTTTTCACCCACTGCCATCATCGCCAACGGCTTGCTTTTATCGGTCGTCATCACAACTCTTGTTACACTCACCTTGTTAATGATGACTGGTCAACCTCTGACAACTTCACCATGCTCCTAAATAACTTCTCACAAATTGTTCATTTTTAACACTTTCCCTCATTTCAAATTCGAGTCGTCGTGAAATTTTTTACGATTTTCAGTTATCGTTGGCAGCATTTTTCAATTATCGTTATATCATTATCATTTTAAACAATCATCATCATATCATTATCATTTTCAGTTATCATTATATTTCAATTACCACGCCATTCATTATCTGACGCTTATTCGTCATCACTGCCATCGTCATCATCGTCGACGTCACCATCACCATCATCATCGTCGTCGTCGTCATCATCACTCTTGCCACTCCGGTCCTCACCAGCACTTATAGTGTCTGCCGAGCAATGGGATATTTGTTTGCTCAAACCTGTCAACCAGCCGACCAATCAACGAAGCGGCTGCTTGATGACGTAACCAGCACGTGACCAATCGCTTCTATAAATAGACCCATGACGCCACTTGCACAATTTATTTGCACTTCATGAAATTAAGCGGATGCTAATTGTGTGATATTTGCCCAGCAATACGCTGTAGTTGATGATGATGATGATGATGATGATGATGATGATGATGATGATGATGATGATGATGATGATGATGATGATGATGATGATGATGATGATGATGATGGGAGGGTGAGGATGATGAAGAAGAAGGGGATGATGATGATGATGGCGATGATGACGATGATGATGATGATGATAAAAAATTTTTATATTACCTTTGCATTACTATAATAACTGTATCATTTTCATCGCATGACCATAAGACATCTTTAACATGAGCATAGTGGCAGCAGTTTATATATATATGCAATTAACATTACATAATTTTCATATGAGCATTCTGATATGTAGAACGTACTATGATGACGGCGGCTTCAAACAAAAATTAAAAAATTAAAATTCAATACTTAATGAAAATCTGTACTCAATTACCTGAACGGCACAAAATGCTGTTGTACATGTATAATGAAATAATGTTTAATAATGAATGTACTTAACAATGATTAATTCTTCTGCCATTCTACAGAGGAGGTCATATTAAACGAGGAGAAAACAACAGATGAAGAAAAACGGAAAATAATTGAAGGCAACTTTTTCTAATTTTTGAATTGAAAAAAATTAATAATTCACAATTCAGAAAAAAATTTTAAATTTTATTCTAACTTCATGAGATAACTTTTTGTAATTAACTCAAAAAATTATTATTTATTATTAGTTGCGTGATATCATCTCGCGTATGACACTTTGGTTTTGTTTCCTTTTGTCATTCAAAACTTGCCACGTCAAATTACACACGTATTAACAAACAAAATAAATCTTCTTAACAAGCCCATCAATCAATTTGATAAATCCACTTATCGTTCATTTTTCACATACTTTTTCTTCTTATTAATCTATTATTTTTTTCGTACTTTCTTTTATTCATTTGTTTATTCATTCATTCATTCGTTCGTTCGTTCGTTCGTTCGTTCATTCATTCATTCATTCATTTATCCCTTCGTTCATCCATTCATTCAAAAAAATGTTTTCTCAATTTCACATCCTCAAACCTCAGCTCGAAGACGAGTAGCCACAAGAAAAATGAAGCAGATAAAGACGAGCATGAACAAGGAGAACAAGGAGGTCGATGATGGCGAAGAAAATGAAGAATTATTTGGTTGGTCGGTCGGTTTGTTGTTGGTTGGTTAAATAGTTGGTTAAACAGTTGATTAAATGGTTAGTTAGTTGGTTGATTAAGTAATTGGTTAGTTGGTTGACTGAATGTTTGGTTGATTGTTTAGTCGGTTGGTTGATTAGAAAGTTGGTTGGATAACTGTTTTTTTAATAATTAATAATCTGTCAATTTATTTAATTGACAGGTTAGTCAATTAATTAATTAGTTAATTAATTTATGGATTAACCAAATAGACGGTAACACCACATTGATTGATGGATGGTTGAATGTCAAACATTATTTAATTAGCGAAATAATTTTCATGATAAAATTCTTTTGTCGTATTCTATTTTTAGTCTGTGGAAATTTTTTTAGGTTTTTGGATAAAGATATTGTTGTATGGTATCCTTCTCATTGCTTGCTGATACATAAAGTATTACAGCTTGCAATTTTTGTTGCTTTAAATAGCAGTTGATTTTGTATGGGATGGTTGGCTCATGGTGGTTGATTAATGAATATTCTTATTAGTGCTGCTAGATAAATTGAATGTGCGGTTGAGTTGTATGTGCTCTAATGTTAAATGACGCCTGCCTACTTTGCCACGTTCAGTGCATGCTTCAACTTCCAGTGGTCGGAGATGAATTGATATATTATTCAAACTATTTTTCTCTGTATGTTTTTGTATTGTTTGCATTGGAAAAAGTTTCCCAAACAGAAATTTCGGGAATGGTTTCATTAATTTCTGAAAAAATGTACGACCGGTTTAATTTTTTTTGCAATAATTTAGTCTTAATTCGAGAAAACATTTTTTTTCAAATTATTTTTATTTGAATATTTTTGCATCTCAGTAATATTTTCTAGTCATTAATTGAATAATTGGTAAATTCTTCAACGCCATGAACGTTTAAAATACTGGCATGATTATCATCTTTCTATAATTAAAATCCATCTAACATTCAGGACCATCATCGAGACAGCAGATGAAAACAACGCGAAGAAAATTCTTCAAGAGGTGTGACGCTTTCTTCAGAGCTGAAAAACGATTCCAGTTAGTTAGAGTTAAAAGATTTTTTATGGGAAATTTTAATGAGCAAAAGTAGTTCACTTGACAAATTAACTTTTATGTTAATATAATTATCGGTTAATTGAGATTTTAATTTTGTTGTCCAACTTTTTCGTTATCCTGTTATATTGTAATTATTCACTAGAAATTTTTTGGTTTGTTGATAATTAAAATATTTTTAAAGTGATAAGATTGAAATTTAAATTTTGATTAAAGATTACTTTTCATATCTTTTTATATATTTCTGATTATGCATTTCATTTATTTCTATCGCTTTTATTTATGCCTGTTGCAGTCAGGATTCACAGACGTGTTATTTATTGCAAACATTTTTACATTCATTCTGACTATAAAAATTATTGATCGCCTTGATAAAATTTCATATTCAAAGAAAACCTTTTGAAAAAAAATTACACTGTACTGCGAAGCGGTTTTTATTAGCAAGTTTGAAAAGGTTTCCAGTATATGACGACGAAAGTTCTATCTTCACTGCTCTTGATAGCTTTTATATTGATTCATTCTTCAGGGTCGCACGGACCAGCAGCATCAACAAACCAGGCACACATGTGAACGCGCATAAATCAACGTGTCATAAATCTAAATTTTTGAAAGTTATAATGCTTTAGAGTGTTTTGAACCAGGGTACTGTGCAATAGTTGCCCGCCAAATGAAAATTTCGTACTTCTACTTTTTGAGCTACCTTGAAAACCAATGAAAACTATTAACAATAGCATCGCATAGATTGTAATACTGAGTTACAATTCACTAATTCAGCTTCGTTTGATTCAATTGTATCTCATTTAATTAAAAAAAAGGTTTAAAATAAGACGGATTGTGAAGAGTCAGGTATTTTACTGGCTCATCATCGTGCTCGTCTTCCTCAACACTGTTTTCGTAGCTATGGAGCACCACAATCAACCAGAGTTTCTCACTGAATTCATAGGTGAGTGCATCTTCTCTTGACTGTAAAAATATTTTATTTGAACATATAAAGAAAAAATAAATTTTTATTCAAATATTTATTATTCAACATTTTTTCAATTATTGAGGGTAAAAAATTCTCTTTTTGTTTGCATTTTATTCATTGAAGAAAAGTTTAGGTTCAATGCAATGAATAAAAATTTAAGTACTAAACAAAATGAATCACCGATCTTTTTAATGATGCAAACAGAATTTTTTTCTTTGGCAAAAATTTTTTTTGATTCGTTTCTTCCATCTCTTCATTAATGTATCTAACCACCTATTTAGCCATATATCTAACCAATCATTTAACCATCCATCCATCCATCTATTCGATCATCCATCCATCCAACGATTTATTCATCTAGCCATCCATGAAACAAAATCTCACAGGTATATCAGAGTATGTCTTCCTGGGTCTTTTTATTTTCGAGATGTTCTTCAAAATGTACGGCGTTGGAGCACACCTTTATTTTCAGTCCTCGTTCAACATCTTCGACTGTGCGGTTCGTATGGCCATGTTTTGGTATTTTGGTTTCTAGTAACGATGTATTATTTGTGTGAACGTTATTTTTCCATGACAGTTTTTGCAGTTATTATTTGTTTTTCTACTGAGGATTTCTTTTATGTCTTTGTAAAATGTTTAAATTGTACTTGCAAAGTTAAGTTATGTGATTTATGAAAAGTTGATTAATATAAATTCAAACCAAAACATCGATAAAGGATAACAATATTTTTTACATAATTTCATCAGTGAATTGTAGTTTTATCAGTAAATTACGTTCTTTCAACCGTGTTATTGATGAAATGTTTAAATTCTCTACGCAGGTCATTGCAGGTAGCTTGGGTGAAGTCATTTGGGCCGTCTACAACCCAAAGAGTTCGTTTGGCATCAGTGTTTTGAGGGCCATGAGATTGTTGAGGATCTTTAAAGTCACCAGGTAGATAACTAACTTCCTGAATATCTTCAAACTATTCTCTTTGTTAGTGGCGGTAGCGTGAAATGTAAAAATACTTGTTATTAAAATACAAAAAAGGCACATGCACGAAAATTCTCACACAATAATGAAAAGTATTAACAGGGCAGAGGTTAACGTTGCACGCATAGCATCAACTGGCAGAGGAAAGTAAATAACTTGGAAAACACCGATAAATGAACTTTCAGTCAGATTTTGAAGCAAAAACAAAACTCAAATTTTGTGTGCGTGTGTTTGTGTGTATGTTTGTGTGTGGGGGCTAGTTAATTAATGTGGCTGTGTGTGTTTATGTGTGTGTGTGTGTGTGTGTGCGTGTGTATATTTATGTGTCTTTGTGTCTGGTGGTTCTTAGTTATCCGGTATTGCAGGCAGGCATTTTATGTTAGAAACTACTTTCAATTATTCAATAACCATTTTGAGGTGACAGAGTTCGAACATCAGCTGTGTCACGCCAGACTATTAAAACTCAGTTGGGTTTTAAAGGTTAAAAAAAGGTAGTTGGTCATTGATGATATATTACGCTGATATTAAGTTGTCTGTATTCGTGTGTGTATGCGTGTGTGTATGCGCGCGTGTGTGTATGCGTGTGTTTATGCGTGTGTGTATGCGTGTGTGTATGCGTGTGTGTATGCGTGTGTGTGTGTGTGTATGAGTGTGTGTATGCGTGTGAATGCGTGCGTGATCAAACTGAGAACTCGAAAGTAGTGAAATCCTTTTATAAAAACACCTGAACGCGCTATGCTATTCTAAGAGGCAACGTAATGCGATTTCATGCAACTGTGCATTCAATTTAAATTTCACATGAAACCAATGTAATTGATGTATGGCCAGAAGTTGCTGCTTTTGGCGTTAGTGTTGGTATCGTTATTGCTGTCACAGGTGTTTTGATGGCTGTTAAAATTCGCTAGGTTTTCAATTTAAAATTGTTATTTAATTGTAATGTAAATTAAAAGTTAATTTAAAATTGTACTCATTTATAGTTCTCATTATTTGGTACTAGAATAATTTTTTATGTGCCCCTATATCTTATTTATCAGCACATTTTATGATCATCATTTTAATTGTTACTTCACTACTATCATCATTTTCATCATCTTCATCACCATCATCTTCATCACCACCATCTTCTTCACCATCTTCTTTATCATCATCTTCATCATCATCTTCATCACCATCATCTTCATCACCATCATCTTCATCACCACCATCTTCTTCACCATCTTCTTCATCATCATCTTCATCATCATCTTCATCACCATCATCTTCATCACCATCATCTTCATCACCACCATCTTCTTCACCATCTTCTTCATCATCATCTTCATCATCATCTTCATCACCATCATCTTCATCACCATCATCTTCATCACCACCATCTTCTTCACCATCTTCTTCATCATCATCTTCATCATCATCTTCATCACCATCATCTTCATCACCATCATCTTCATCACCACCATCTTCTTCACCATCTTCTTCATCATCATCTTCATCATCATCTTCATCACCATCATCTTCATCACCATCATCTTCATCACCACCATCTTCTTCACCATCTTCTTCATCATCATCTTCATCATCATCTTCATCAACATCATCTTCATCACCATCATCTTCATCACCATCATCTTCATCACCATCTTCATCATCATTTTCATCAACATCATCATCTTCATCACCATCATCATCTTCATCACCATCATCACCTTTATTATCTTACCAGATACTGGGCCTCGCTAAGAAACCTGGTGATATCATTGTTGAGCAGCATGCGTTCCATCGTCTCCCTCCTCTTCCTTCTCTTCCTCTTCATCCTCATCTTCGCACTCCTTGGTATGCAGCTCTTTGGCGGAGAGTAAGTTATGATGACGATGACGGTGATGGTGATGATGATGATGACGGTGATGGGGATGATGATGGCGATGATGATGATGACGACGATGATGATGATGACAACGACAATTTTTTTAAATCGGCAGATGGAACTTCAACACTGGACGTCCGACGAGCCACTTCGACACGTTCACCGTTGCACTCCTGACAGTTTTTCAGGTTCCACTTGGCATCCATTTTCAATATTTTTTTTTGTAAAAAATTTTTTTCACTTATTCAAGAAGAGCGATAAATTCAATAGAGACTAATAGAAACCCAAAAATTCAAAGTACCTGCTGACAGTACCGTAGCATCTAATCGGATAATTTGGAAAACTGACTCGTTCTAGTCAGGCGACATAATGTTTTATTGCTATTTGTTGTGTAGTTTGTATTTGTCGTTCAAGCGTTTCAGTGGTTGGAAATTTTTTAAAACTGGCTTCACAAGAACAACGTTTTTCAATTGACAAAAAAATATGTAAATGTAAATATCTAATTATATAATATAAAATAGTGCAATGAATGAATATGCATGTGCCGTAAGAAAAATGTATCCAAAAAAAATTCAAACCCAAGCCAAAAAACTTGAATGTAAAGGAAACAAAGCATTAAACTTATGCAAACATTAAAACCGACCAACCGATGCGTCAGATATTGACTGGAGAGGACTGGAACGAGGTGATGTTCAACGCAATCGTCTCTCAAGGTGGTGTTGACAACTACGGCATGCTCTACTCAGTCTACTTCATCGTACTGGTACTCTTTGGCAATTGTACGTTTGTCTCTGTCTGTACTACTTGTTTTAGATTTTTTCGTAGTATGAAGTTTCATTTTTAAAGTTATTAATTTGATGTTGTTATATTTTGTGAGGTTGCTGCTAGAGTTATTGTTACATTAGCAAATGATCATGTTACTTTAGTTTTTCTTGTGTGCAATTTTGTGGTTGTTAACCCGGATGTTACCTTTTAACCTGTTTGTAATGTTGTTGTTTTAGCTGTATTTTTTATCATCAGTGTTGTTGTCAGCGTGTGATATGATATAGTAGGAAGTGGCATGATATGGCAAGAGGTAGTATGATGTGGTAGGATGTGGCATGATGTGGTAAGATGTGGCAAGAGGTAGTATGATGTGGTACGATGTGGCATGATGTGGTAGGATGTGGCATAATGTGGTAAGATGTGGCAAGACGTAGTAAAATGTGGTTGAATGTAGTATGATATGGTAGGATGTGGCGTGGTGTGGTATGGTGTGGTAGGATGTGGTATGATGTGGCATGATGTCGTTCCGACAGACACCTTACTGAATGTCTTCCTGGCCATCGCCGTTGACAATTTGGCTAATGCCCAAGAACTGACAGCTGCAGAAGAGGAGCAAGAGATGAAAGACGAGCAGGTGAGATTGTGATGACGGGAGAGAGGAAAAACTTTAAAACTGATAAAATTTACAAAAATCTACAAAAATTTAATAATTATTATCAGTAAATAATTATTAATTCATCCTAGTAAAAACAAAAATTTACACAAAATTTAATTACGTCATCACCATTCATGCATACAGAAACGACAGGAAGAGTTATCGAAAGAAGGTATGACGTCACTTCAGTTGACACTCGATCCCACGATGATCAACTTTTGCCCCCCTCCATTCGGTAGCAACCAAGATTTCAAAACAAACACGTTCAATGTGTTAGTCATCAAAGTTCAATTTCAATCATACATGTACATTTGCTTGCCTTGTACACACACACACACACACACACACACACACACACACACACGCACATTGAATTTACTTTCAATTGATTCTCGATGTTTAAACACACACACACACACACACACACGTTCAATGTGTTAGTCATCAAAGTTCAATTTCAATCATACATGTACATTTGCTTGCCTTGTACACACACACACACACACACACCACACACACACACACACACACATTGAATTTACTTTCAATTGATTCTCGATGTTTAAACACACACACACACACACACACACACATATATATATATATATATATATATATATATATACATGCACTACACACACACACTCACGTATATTAACATTCGCATGTTTGTTTAATTCAAACAAACACTCTGATGAATGGAAGATATTATTTCATCTTCTCCACTTTTCAACAGGATATCCTTTAACGATCCGAAAATCAACAACACCAACTCCAACAATCCTGATACGTCCGATCCTGAGAAAGATAATCTTCCTAATGGTTGTTTTTTTATTTCTTTTTCCATCTTTTTCTTAATATTGATGAAAATTTATAGCTTAAAAATTAAAATTGTTATAATAACAATAGCCGTAACTAAGTTTTGAATGATTATGAATACTAAGTATAAAAAAAATGACGAAAAAAATTTTTTCTTCAAATTAAATCATGATTTTTGTTGTTTGTTAGAAAATTAATTTATTAAATCAAAATTGTTTAAACCATTTAAAAAAATTACCATATTAACTTTCTTATTAACATAAATTAATATTCATGAAGATGACGAACAAGACGACAGCGGTCCCAAGCCAATGTTGCCCTACAGTTCAATGTTCATCTTTGGAGCAACAAACCCGTAAAAAAAATTTTTATTGGATATAAAATTTATTCATTTATATATTTATTTATTCATTCATTTATTTATTTATTTATTATTTATAAGAAAAATAACTTGTCGCATTTTTCAGTAATTCCAGTTAAACAAAATGCATTGTGTTAAAATTAGGATTATAGTAATGTGGTTAATTTCAGTCAGTCAGAAACGCATCAGATATAACAACAATCAATGATAACGCATTTAACAATTTTATCAGTTACTACTAACAACTAGTTACATATTTAAACAATCAGCCAATTGTGTAACTATCTAAATCACCAACCAACCATTCAACCAATCAACCATCCAACCAACCATCCAACCAATCAACCATCCAACCAACCAACCATCCAACCAACCATCCAACCAACTATCCAACCAACCATCCAACCAACCAACCAACCAACCAACCAACCAACCAACCATCCAACCAATCAACCCTCCAACCAAACAACTCGTTTAACAACAACGACAACTTCACTGACAGCATTCGGCGATTCTGTCACTTCGTTGTCAGCCTACGTTACTTCGACCTCTTCATCATGATCGTCATTTGCGCAAGCAGCATCGCCCTGGCTGCTGAAGATCCAGTGCTTGAAAACTCGGAGAGGAACAAGATACTGAATATGTTCGATTACGTGTTCACTGGTGTCTTCACTGTTGAGATGATTTTAAAAGTCTGTATTTCTTTCTGTCTTCACTGTTGAGATGATTTTAAAAGTCTGTATTTCTTTGCATTTAGTGTATTTATACGTTTAGCTACGACGCATCGTTCTGTTGTTTTGGGTATCATATTGGCTATCGTATTGCTGTATTAGACGTAGTATTTTATGGTATTTCATTTAACGTGTATTTATGAAACTGAACTATAATAAATATTAACCTAGACTCCAAACTTGTATTGTCGGTTTCACTGTTTTTGTTTGAATTTCAAAACAGAGTCAAACAATAGAACTATAATCCTGAGAAAAAAATTTAAGTTAGTTTTTGTTTGCGAAATTGAACACCACAAAATTGCTGCTGTTAGGTGATAAATTTAGGTGTCGTGTTTCACCCCGGCTCGTACTGCAGGGACCTTTGGAACCTCCTCGATGCAACTGTTGTCATTTGCGCTCTGGTTGCTTTCGCCTTCACGTTAGTCTTTTGCCGGTTTTGCTGTGCTGCTTTTCAACTATTTAGTTTTTGGGATTTTTCAATTGTTGGTTTGATTTTTTTTTTATAAAATATAAAATGATGATGTGTTGCTTTGTTTGGTGCTTATTTTGTAGGTTAATGTTTATATCATGTTTATTTCATGTTTGTTTTATGTTTACTTTATGTTTAATTTGTGTTTATTTTATGTTTAATGTTTACTTTTAGTTTGTAGAGTGTTTTTGAAATGTGTTTAGCTTTCGTTTGTTTACTATCAAATTAATTGTTGTTGCATGGTTGGCAATACGAAAATTTATTTAAAACCTCCATTGCTTTTAATAAGACATTATCAATGCGATCATTGTTTCAATGTAACAATGTAGTAGCTCACCAAACATAATTACCTGTCCTGCATTCATCCTTTTAATACTTTCAAATCAATTTCTATACGAGCTTTTCATTGAAAATTGCCAATTTTGAGTTTCGTATTGTTAAAAAGCATTCTTTGCGTTTTACCGCTACGTTGATATGCAGAAAAAGGCGATTCTATCAAGAAAAATCAAAACAAAATTGTATATACATAGACAATATATAAACGGGATCCTAAAAATCATTTAAAAAAATTAATTTAAATAATCAGAGACAGTCCAGGGGCAGGTAAAAACTTAAACACCATCAAATCGTTGCGAGTTCTGCGTGTCTTGCGGCCTTTGAAGACAATTAACCGAGTGCCCAAGCTTAAGGTGAGATGCAGTTTGTTTGATGGGTGCGTGTGTGTCTCTATCCTGATGTTTAGAATTATAATTATTGCTGGTAGGTTGTTTTATTTTACCCTCGTTACTTTTTTTGTGACAAATACTTGAAAATGTTTTGAAAGTAGAAGGAAACTCTTTTTAAATTTCAACAAATAACTCGAATAATTTGCATTTATCTAAAATGATTAAAATCAGAAACAATTATTATTTAGCTACAACAAAATAATTACAACAACAAGATGTAAAAAAAACAACGTAACTACAACGAAATTATAAAACGTGTAGGCGGTATTTGACTGCGTGGTGAACTCACTGAAAAACGTCTTCAACATCATGATCGTCTACATGCTCTTCCAGTTCATCTTTGCCGTCATGGCAGTGCAACTATTCAAAGGGAAATTTTTCTTCTGCAATGATGACTCCAAGAACACGAAAGCCGAATGCAAGTTCGTATGTTGTTGTCTCGTTGCTGTATGTTGTCTCGGCGGTCCTGTCATTTCATCCTGTCGTTGTTTTCTTGTCAGATATGCAAACTATTTTCAACTGATATCTCCCTAGTTATTGTTACCCCTCATCGAATTTAAAAAACATTTCATAATATAAATATTTTTGCTGTTTGAGTGTTTGCTTAAAAAACTATATTCATAAGCCTTAAATTAGAAATAATCATTCCAATGTTACAATTAACGTCATAAAAATGATTTCAAATACGAAAATGTGAACATCCAAACTAATCATGCACATGTCAGAGGTGAGTACTTCGAGTACCAGCTGGACAACAACAGGTACGTGCCAAAAGTCGAAGAAAGGAAGTGGGGTAGGAGGGAGTTCCATTACGATAATGTGGCTGATGCCATGCTCACCTTGTTTGCCGTTCAGACTGGGGAGGGTTGGCCAGCGTTAGTGAAGTTGCTCGCATCTACCAAATGTTTTTATTTTCACGTTGAGAATTTGAACATTTTTTATTGTTTTTTTTAATTCATTTAGGATTACAAAAAAATTATACTCTATTTTGTGTAATAAGTTTGTATTTTGCTTTGACATTTTCGTTCTCAGGGTTGTCTGCGGAATGTTTTTTAGTTTCTTAGCAAAAATGTAAAATCAAACTAACTTTAAACAATGTATTATGCAACGTATAACTTACTAAAAGTCATTTATCAAATGATCTGATTATTATGGTAATTCATGAAATAAAACAAAAAAACTTTGATCATTTGAAATTCAAACCACATATTTTGCAGGGTTCTTCGACATTCCATTGAATCAACGGAAGAGAACCTCGGACCGCAGCCAGGTCACCGCATGCAAATGTCTGTCTTCTACATCGTCTACTTCATCGTCTTTCCATTCTTCTTCATCAACATCTTCGTCGCCCTCATCATCATCACGTTCCAGGAACAAGGGGAAAATGAATTGATCGACCAGGAGCTGGACAAAAATCAAGTTGGTTATATTTATTATTCATGTTGTTTCATCTTTGCTATCATCAATGAGATCTCTTTCTTAATTATCACCATTTATAATTTAATACCATTTTACCACATATTATTTTGTTTTATCTGAATAATCAACAGAAACAGTGCATTGACTTTGTCATTAACGCCAGACCGGTCTGTCGGTACATGCCGAAAAACCAAAACTCCTTCAAGTTCAAGGTTTGGAGAGTTGTCGTTTCGCCCATGTTTGAGTACATCATCATGGTCATCATTGCCTGCAACACAATCCTACTTATGATGAAGGTCGGTCGGTCGGTCGGTCGGTCGGTTGGTCGCTTGATCGGTTGTCTGGTTGATCGGTTGTCTGGTTGATTGGTCGGTTGGTTGACTAAATAATTGGTTAATTAAGTTTTAATGATTCAATTATTTATTTCCTATTTACTGAACCATTTCTTAAAAAGTTCTAACGTACGACATCGAAAATGAATTTCAGTACACTCCAAAAGTGAAAGTGGACCAGTTCGATAAGTATGCGACGACACTCTCCAAACTGAACATGGCTTTCACTGCCGTCTTCACTGTCGAAATCATATTCAAGATTATCGCTTTTGGCATTCGGGTCAGTAAGCTCCATGTTGTGGCGACGTTCGTTATTTTATTTCTTTGTCTCTATAGCCAGTCATGCTATATATAACATGCTGCAACATATTCTCACCTCCTAGCACAATTTAAAGAGTTATGCCCTCTGTGTCGTGTTAAAATTACGATATATACCATATTATTATAGCGATATAATTTCATTCGATTTTCAACAAAATAAGCAGCATTGATAAGATACTTATTGCATTGTAATTGTAACAAACCAGCTGATAATTAGTAATTATATACCATTGGAGACTTTGTTAGATAACATAATGGCGTAATATATACATAGAAATAATAACTAATTACAAATAATATTTTCAATATAAATAGAATAAATTTGAACTTTTTTGATAAAACAACTCCCACCGAAACGGCCAAAGAACTACATGAAGGACTATTGGAACATCTTCGACATGGTCACTGTCGTCGGTAGCATCACTGATGTCCTCTGGACGGAGACCATTCAGAAAGTTAGCACTGTGAGTATCTCGGTCGTTCATTTTTTTACATTCTCAAATGATGATGCGAAATATATGCGAAGGAATAAATGATCGAGTAATTAAATGAATTGATTGAATAATTAATCACTAAATGAATGAAACAATCGATCATTAAATCGAAAATTGAATGAGTGAAAGGGTGTGTGAGTGAATGAATTAGTGAGTGAGCGAGTGAGTTAGCGATTGAGTGAGCCAGCAAATAAGTGAATGAATAAATAAACAAGTAAATGAGTATAATTACAAAATGATAAGTTGAACGATCAGACCACTGGGACATTCAGTTTCGGCTTTTTGAGGCTGTTCAGAGCGGCCAGGCTGATCAAGTTGCTACGGCAAGGATACACTATCAGGATACTACTTTGGACATTCATTCAGTCCTTCAAGGTATCATGATATTGGGTGATAATAATGAAGAGGCTGTGATGTGATGTCATAAGATGGGATGTGATGATAGATGGGATGTGATCATCACCACCACTATTCCAGTGGTGGTGATGATGATGATGATGATGATGATGGTGATGATGATAATGGCGATGTGGTGCCTTTGGTTGTTATAAATTTTGATAAATAAAAATTGAAATACAAAAGAAAGATTGAAACGCGTTGCTTGACCATTAAATGCAATTTCTTCGCAGGCACTTCCTTATGTTATCCTCTTGATTGCCATGCTGTTCTTTATCTATGCAATCATCGGAATGCAAGTTCGTTCGTTTGTTTGTATGTTTGCTGTTTGCTTGTTCACTCACTAGTTTATTTGCTTGTCTGTTTGTTCGTTTGTTTGTCTGTCTGTTTGTTTTTTGTTCGTTCGTTTAATTCTACTTTTAACTTTGTTGCCATCTTCAAACTTGAGTTAATTTCTCAATTAATCGTTTTATTATCTATAAATATCTACAACACGGAATGAAATAAATTTAATTAAATTTACAAAATTAAAACCTTTAAGATCTTTGGTAACATAAAGCTGAAACCAGGAACGGAAATAAACAGGCACAACAACTTCCGTTCGTTCGCCGATGCTGTCATGCTCCTCTTCCGGTAAGCACAAGTTTTATAATATTTATTATTCTCAGTAAAAATAAAAACTATCTCTCGATGAAATTATGAAAACTGTTACTGACAATAAATAGTAACTGAAATAATTTCAATCAAACGCAGGCTAATACGATCAAAAATGATTGAGCTATCATTTTTAATTAATATTTTAATATATTTGTAGGACTAAAACACAAAAAAAATTCACTCATTCACTCACTTACTCACTCACTCACTCGCTCACTCACTCATTCACTCACTCACTCACTTACTCCCTCCCTCCCTCACTCACTTACTCATTTATTTACACATTCATCCACTCATTCATTCATTTATCCATTCATTCGAAACGAAACGAAACGAAATTTTATTTGCTCCATAAAATTAAATAAAATTTAATGATAAGAAGCGGACTGACCATAATAGAATTCCTATTGGAATTCATCGAGTCTGGCCACCGTAACCGAAAATACAAATGATGTTTCTAGTTTTCTATAAACATAATTTGTAATAATAAAAGCTATCTCTCGATGAAACATTCATTTATCTATCCACTAATTCATTTTTTTTCATTCACTCATTCATTCATTCAGTCAGTCAATCAATCATCGTACCCCGAAAAGGTGTGCAACGGGTGAAAGTTGGCAGCAGATAATGTTGCACTGCATGGCCGGCAGGGAATGCGACCCGATGTCAACCCAGAAGGACACGAAAAACTGCGGCCTCAACATCGCCATTCCCTACTTCGTCTCGTTCATATTTTTCTGCTCGTTTCTGGTTAATTTCATTTTACTTCTAATCATTGTCATCGATTGTTTGACCGGGAGTGAAGTGAACTTCTCAAAAACAAATATTTAAGTAAAACTTTTGCGAAAGTTAAATTAGGTTTTCAACTTTGAAAAATGTACCTTCACTCAGCCCTTATACACAACTATAATATCATCAATAAAAAAACAACAATACTAATAGCAAAGGAATGTTATTATTTTAACAATATCATTATTATCTTTACTACTACTACTTTTATTATTTTATTATTATTGTTATTATTATTATTATAATCAAACTAAAATAAACCGTCTTGACGAATTTAGATCTAGCTTAATCAATTTTGCGATAGCATCTACATCCGCAATATATTGTGACAGAAATAAAGCTTGACTCTAGTTTTTATATTATTTCATCACCTTTGTACACATTCATAATAATGACGAGCAATGATGTTAAATTATCCATTATTTTAATCTTTTAACTATTATAATAATTGATCATTTTATATTTAATAGTAGTTTTCATTTATATTTTGGCTTTTGAAGAAATAAAAGAGTTCTCATTATTATTATTATTATTAACTGAGCAAATTTCTGACGACCCGACCCACATGATGGCAGATGTTGAACCTGTTTGTGGCGGTCATCATGGACAACTTTGATTACCTGACACGTGACTCTTCAATTCTTGGCCCACACCACCTGGACGAGTTCATCAGGGTCTGGGCTAATTATGACCCAACTGCAACGTTCGTTCTGCTTTTGTTTTGTTTCGTTTCGTCTTTTTTGTAGTTTTTTTCTCTGTATAGCGTTTGTTTTTCAGCGTTTGTGTTTTGGGCTTTTTGTTATTAAGATAATCAGAGTCATTTTTAATTTTATTTTTCCTAATAACCAGCTGAAACGTCATCATAAATAGCACCATTGCTAAAATGATTCATATTTACAATTTTTTCATTGTATTGTCGAAACTATCATCATTATAATTGTCATCATTTTCATCATCTCCGTCATCATCTTTTTCCCCACCATTGTACATGAGTACCTAACCCTAACCATCACCATCATCATCATTATCATCCTCACCACCACCACCATCATCACCACTACCATCATCATCACCACCACCATCATCATCACCACCATCATCATCATCCTCACCACCACCATCATCATCATCACCATCCTCACCACCACCACCATCATCATCATCACCATCATCACCACCACCACCATCCTCACCACCATCCTCATCATCACCATCATCTTCAGTGGCCGGATCTTGTACACGGACATGTACGACATGCTAAGGAACATGGAACCTCCGGTGGGATTTGGAAAAAAGTGTCCTTACAGACTGGCTTACAGGGTTCCTGACGTTTGAGTTCAATTTTTTTTTTTGGAAACTGCAAATAAAAATTAATAATAAGCGTAATTATAACGACTCAAAATCTTTTTTCAAAATGTACTAACTGGTTAATTTGAAACAGGCTTTTGTTCTACTTGAAATCGCAAACATGTTTACTCGCCGGCGACAGTCCACTTTTCACTTTTCATATATATATATATATACACGTTCACACACACACCAACACACACACACTAACACACGTTCTCACACACATACACAACACACACACACATGTTCACACACACACCAACACATGTTTACACACGTGTTCACAAACACACGCACACAATTCAGAAACTCATCCGAATGAACATGCCGGTAGCAGACAACGGAACGGTTCACTTCACGACGACATTCTTTGCACTGATTAGAGAATCTCTAAGCATTAGGATGGGTCCAGGTCTGTTGATTGGATTGTATCAGAGAATAAATTATTCAGTGATATTTTTAATAATGATACGTACGTATTATAAATTTGTATCCCTCGTTTGATATCAAACTACATCGTACAACATCGGCAAAGTACAACAAACACTAACGCACTCACTCACTCACTCACTGTAACGCAGCATCGGAGATGAACAAACAGGACGAAGCACTGAGAGAAACCATCAAGACACTCTGGCCCATTCAATCGAAGAAGATGCATCTGCTCATGGTGCCTCCTAACGAAGGTTTTTTCTCTATTTTTAACCTTTTTCATTTTTTTTCATTCCATATTTTTCTTTTGATAAAAATGTGACGGATAGTTATTTCAATCCGGTTTCTATTCGATTTTGTATTGTTAACTGTATGCGTCCCTATCTAATTTATGTGCGTTTGTTTTTCGCAGAGTTGACGTTTGAAAAGTTGACCGTTGGTAAGATCTACGCCGGACTCTTGATTGCCGAAAACTGGAGAGCTTACAAGGCCAACAAAACCATAAAAATGGTTCAGTGTTCCTGATGAATTTTAAACATTATTAACAAATTTTGTATAATTAACTTGGAAATTTGAAAGGTTTTAATACCAATTCGGCAGCATTTTCAATTTGAAATTAGAATAATTGAGTTATGAATGAACTAAGTTTATGTAACTGTGTAACTCTTAAATTGTAACATTTTACTATAAATAAAATAGATGAACATTTTTTAGTGAGAGCAGTTTTTTTTACATTATCGATTAAATGATCTGCAGAAACCCACCCTGTTTAAGAAGTTGATAGGAACGTGTGCCATGACCTCGGCCTCAGACGTCCTTCAGTCGAAAGAAATATTTGACTTGGCCAGTCACATCAACGAAAGCCAGCAGCATCCTCATCATTCTGGCTCCTCGAAACATCACGAGCCCATCCGAGCACCATTCGTCATCAGGTACCCCAACCATCCACCAGTACAAACTACCAGGTACGTACAGCTCGTTCTTTCTAACTTTACATTTTATTTTTTTTTGATAAGTTAGAAAATAATTCAATTCTTTAACAATCATTAAATAAAATGCGTGCTGGAATTTTTAAACATTTTGGCGTTTAAAATTTCAACTTGCAGTTTTTTCAAATAGGTTTATATTCGATTGCGTCAACACTTAAAATTACTATCAAACGTGAATTAAAAAACTATTTACATAAGAAGACATTTACATAAAATACTTACATTTAAATAATTCTCATCATCATCAATTTCAGCAAACAAGCACTGGAGTCGACGTCAGCCGCCACGCCTACAGCTGCGACAGCCACCTCATCCACTGACGCCCTCGTGACCACAACCAGCGATGACAATGCATTTGACGTCAAACCTGAAACCAAAGAAGGGGTTAATCCATTTAATGTCATAAAATCGTTGTTATGTTTATTAGCCTGTCAAGTGAGATCGATTCTAATGTTACAAATACTGTTCATTGTTTTTTTGTATCTGGTCGGTTTAAAGTGCTAAACATTTTTTTTTTCAATACTATTACAAAATGAGGTTTTTTTCTACGTAAAAAATAAATTTATGATAGCAAAATTTGTTATAACAGCAATCCGCCAAGAAATCTTTAACCGAACTTTCCAATTCTTCCTTGTTCAACTTGAACATTGAAAACAGCATTCTTGAAAAGCAGAACAAACAAATAAACTCAAACGATCCAAGATTTGCCACCTCTCCAACGAGAATGTCTTCAGATGAACAATCATCTAGGACATTCAACTTCAACCAACAATTACAAACGCTGCAGCACGACAACAACTCGTTGATCTACAACTCAAAAATACGTCCTTGTCCTTCGCAAAACAGCATCAAAAGTCTCAAAACCACAACCTACGATCAAAACAACGGCTTTGAAACTGTTAAAGTAACCAACGTCATCAGCTCAGCTGGTTTCACAAAATCGATAAGCACGATAATATCGTCTATTAATAAATCTGTGAGCAGCGCGTTTAACAATTTAATTACGAACCCTGAACATCAACAAAATCAACAACACTACTCCACATTAGACAACGACAAAAATGACCCGTCATTTCAAAATCAACAAATTGCCAACCGCTCATTCGATCTTCTATTAACCAAACCAAATCAACGACAACAACTACCGCAAGAGCACTCAAAGGAGAGAGTAGATTTTTTGAAGAAATTTCATCCTTTCAGTCCAACCAGCGAACATAAACAATCGTCGCCGTTAAATCTCAGCCACTCTCCCAGCGCCAGCAACGTCTCTCAACAGTCACATCGGCATTTGAATCTTACCAGCACCGAAAGCTCTCCACTTCCGAATATTTACAACCAACAACAGCAGCAGCAACAAAAACAGCAACATTTACATTTAAGACAACAGGAACAGTTGCAGCAGTTGAAGCAGAAAATATCACCAACCATATTCATCAAGCAAAAAAGTCAAGACGGTTAGAAAAAATTAATTTTTTTTAAAACTTTGTGTCATCGTTTAATTAATGCTATGAATTGTTTATAACAAACTAGAGCGCCAACTGATTCCATGCCAACAAAGAGACTCACCAACGCCTCCACCTTCGACGACATCGACAACGACAACTTCAAACATCCAATTTCGTCAAGACTCAGTAGGAAGTTTGGGCAAACTTAGCAAAAAACATCCAGAAACGTTTGGTTCTAGTGATCTGACAGGTCGATCCAGGTCTCCCAGTCCCAACGTTGTATTTGCTGAAGACTTTCGCAGAACTCCACAAGCTCCAAGAAAGCCAATCAGGTTAAACTTAGAATCACGCCGAACATCAAAAACTTACGAGGATCGAATGCCTCACGTTTTGACTTCGCCAACTGCTCTACAGCCAGATGACATGGACATGCATTCACGATTCCAGCAAAGACCAGACCCGCCACCCGAGCCATGTCGTCGCGATAGCTTGAATTTTCCTTTGTTAGACCCTTCTCCGTCCCATAGCAGCATCAAATCGATAACGTTGTCACACTCCAGATCGGAGCACCAGGACCAGCAACTTCTACATAACAAGCAGCAGCAACAACGAATATCTCCCGCCAGTGACTTTCAAAAACATTCACCAGATATAGATGATATTTCGCGGTGCTCAAGCAGCAGTCAACTGCAACAACAACAACAACATCGTCTGCCACCTCCGCCGCCACAACTTCCCTTTCAACCACGTTCTCAACCTCCCTACATAATCAGAAGTTCTCGAATTCCGATGCGCGGACCTTTCCCTCAACGAATACCACGGTCTTCTTTAAATTTTCCTCCGCAGCGACAAATTCGTCCGCCAGTGTTTGGCGAAGGTATGCGACCGCCACGCGGAATGATTCCCAGGCGACTGACGCCGGAACATTTCAATCACCAGCAGCAGCAACATTTACAACGCTCACAACTTCAGCAACGACTTAAGTACGACACTGCTCATCAAACGCACAGCCTTCCTCGCAGTTTCAAAGAAGTTAAAACACGGCCGTTTTTAGGGCAAGGACAGCTTGAGTCACGTAAGCCAGTTGAGATTAAGACTGGCGAGAATGTTGAGAGCGATTCCGACGATGGCGATGGTGACTGGTGCTAACGATCGCACTTCCCTCTTTCCTTCCTTCCATAGTTTTTGCCCTCCCTATCCTACTTAGCTTTACATCCGGTATGATGAAATCATGAAATGTTGTTGTCGTTAATGGTATTTTAATTTCTTGTTGATTAAGTTTTTTTTAATTTGTTTTGCTTTATAAATTTTTTATATTTTTACATCTTTGTTATTTATTGATTGCATCTGTATAATTATACTTCATCAATGCCGTTCCACGTGGAATTTGGTGTTTCTGGTGTCAGAGTGGAAACAGTAGTTGATCGTTTTGAAATGTCGATTCGATAGGATAAGTTATTAATTAAATTGACGTAATAAAAAATAAGCACATATATATATATATATATATATATATATATATATATATGTGTGTGTGTGTGTGTGTGTGTGTGTGTGTGCCTGGGTGTGTATGCGTGTGTGTGTGTGTGTTTGTAAATGTTCATATGTAAGGATGTACTCATTTTTATATCTGTTGGCGGGAGAGGAAGTCAAATTAGTAAAATATACCACATCATATGTGATTAAAATTTTCCTTTGGAAATCGTACAAATTTTCTCCGTTTTTCAACTTTTTCGTATATTTATTCTTCAAATAATTTCATTGCCACGCCCGAAACAGCGTGTATTAGATATTGATTTCAAAGAAATTTTATTTTTTCGTTGAAAAAACAAGATATGACATTTTTAATTCGGAGAAAGCAAATCAAACAATATAAAAAAATACAAAAGCATTTTGGCAACAAAGAATCACTTGTTATGATGATCTAACTGCAGCATTAACACTTTTGTCTTCGTCATAATTAGGGCATTTTTTTTACTAAAAATAAAAATAGATAATTAAGTAAAAAAAATTGTTTTTGATAAAATATTTTCGCCAGCAGTGTCAAATAATTTCTGTAACATGATGCTTAACTTAAAATTAACTTAAAATATCATCTTATTTTGCAATATATTTCTGAGCATCGCTCTTAACATTTCACTATTTTTATTATAAACATTAATAATTTGTTAGAGAATAATGAAATTATTATGATAATTTTCTTACCATGAATTTGAGCTATTTTTGGTACGATGTTTTTTTACGTTTTAAATTTAAAATTACGGGCTTCATAATCTTTGTTTTCGTTTCTTCATTGACGTTGTACGCTATGCTGTTTTCATTTCAAATGTCACTCACTCACTTTTTATTCTTTGTTTGCGATAAAAAATTTTGTTAAGAATTTATCAATTTCAAGATGAATTTCGTAACGTGTACTTGCAAATTAAAAGCCTTTTTAGGTTTTTTATGATGATTAAAATATTTTAAACTTTTTAAGAATACAATTTTCTCTGCATTCATTCATTCCACCGTTGTGTTTCGTGCATATTTGTCGTTCCATATTTTTTTCTCGTTGTTTTTCAAATTTCAGGACCGTAGTTTTTGCAATTTGCCTGCTAGTATTGGCATGAGCTGTGCAATATGTTGTCAAATAAAAAAAAATGAATACATAAGATATAAATATGTGAATTTGATTAAAATTTTTAATTTTTAAAGTTTCAAAATGAAACTGCATTATTTTTCATTCATCTTGAGAGTTAACTGTACTTGCATTCCCCGCCAAGCCGCATACAACCAACACACGCGCATAACTCAGTACGTGATGTAAATATTCCAAATGCACCCACATGTGTGTTTTTATGTGTTTGTTTGTATGTATGGATGGGTGTGTGTGTTGTTTCAAAATAATTCATTATGTACACTAAATGCAAGAATCGTATGGAGTTCTCTTTCATGATGTACGTAGTGTTGTGTGTGCCATTGTTTGTTTGACTGTTTGTTCGTTCATTAATTCTTTCGTTCGTTTGTTTGCTTATATGTTTATTCGTTTGTTAAATGGTCAAGGAATATTTGGTGCTTTTTGTAAAATATCTCATGAGCTATATTATAAAAGTTGTTCTCTAAATATAAAAATGTTTTATTATATAACATGGTTTTTAATGTTGTTTTTAACATTTCAATATTTAATATTAATATCAATTTTGATTAACATATGCGTGCATGAGCATGAATGCATGTGTTGGTACATTCTTCATTTTTGTACACTATTTTTGCTCTTCCTATCATTAAATATTTTGAATCATACGGCTCTTAAGACCATTATTTCCTGTACGTATTTTCTCACTTTTACTCATTATTTTTGTTATTTAAAGTTAAAAATTTATTGTCGGTGTTTTCAAAAACAATTTAAAAAAAAATTTCTGTCTTGAAATACAAAAACAATTTTAAAATGCCAATGTCTGTCAAACTGACTGTTGTTTTAAATCATTCTTACTCCACCTATATTTATTTTTGTCTATACTGCCTCTTCGGCTTTTATAATTGTTTCTAGGTGTTCCGTGACTTCTTAGGCTGACTAATTTCTGAAATTTACGGAATATCTACTCGAGTGAATATAGAAGTACGTACCTATGTATCGAATAATGAATACGTACCTACCTGCTCACTTCCTCTGAATGCAGTTCTGTGTTGCTTTCTTGTTTGCGTAAGATGTCTGTGCGTGTGCGTAAAAGTTATGTGATCAGGTTATTTTGTGTAACTTTAAGATAAAAATCCTCGTAACTAGATGCGCGTTTTATTTTTGTAATATATATTCCTCGAGATGGTCCTATACTCAAAATGTTTTATTGTATTTTATTAACTATCGTATTTAAGATATTTATTTGTTCGAAGATCAGTACTAAATAACTGATAAAGGACAAATTTTAAAAGTAAGGTTCCAGGTCATAAACAAAATAATTCTTAGGCAGCCTTCTCTCTCTTTTCCGGACGAACACTCTACAAGTGTCCTCCTGTAAGAGAGGAAGCGAGCAAGCAACTGGTCCAAATGGTGAAGGAGGAATAAGGTTAGGTTAGGTACTTGTCAGCTTAATAAATCAACCGTGTTCTTTTAAAATCTTTCTTGATTGATTTGTTCTACCAAATTAATGATGCCAAATCGTTGCAGTCATTCTGGGTTTTAAATTGTATGCATTTGTGTTCTCATAAGTTCCGCTTTCTGAAACAAAACTCATCTTTTCTTTGCAAAAAAGAGTGGTATGTACCACACTACTTTTCCTTATCAACTTCTTATTAAACAAGTTACTACAATCAAGTTTTCAAAATTTTATAAGTCACTCAAAATATTGATGGCAAAATTTGTTGAAAAATAAGTTCAGTTATTTAATTAGCAATCTAGCTAACGTTTCTCTTTGAGCTGATATGACCTAAGTTGCAAATTTTAATTTACATCGTAAAAACACTTATTTTTTTATATATAACAATTATTAATTGTTGAAAAGCTCAATAGTTTTAAACTTTTAATGAAAATAATTTCATAGTATGTGAAAAATTTGTGTGCAGATTTTGTTTGTGTGTACTGTATATGTGTTGATGTTTTTCGTTGCATAACTTCCTCTTTGACGTTATAGTTGCACTTTAAACAGCTTACATTTCTATTATATATATATGTGTGTGTATATATTATAAATATATGTGTGTGTATTTACAATTGCATACAAATGTCTGAGCATACGATTTCAGCTTGTTTGTTTAATTGTTTGTATGCGTTTATGAGTCATTTAATAAATGTGCATTTACCTGTTGTCACGACCTAGGTACGCGGTTATAAAGTTAATGTGAAACCATTTTATCAAATCTGCATGTTGATATTATATTTCGTGATATTTCGCGACTTGTAAATTTTTTTCATCAATCTTTTATACCCATACATGTCTATCGTACATTATACTGTTAAGTAATTACATATGTGTGCATTCATGTATATAATATAATTAAAAGTTATATTATGTAATAATATAATACATGCTATTTGAATTAGGTTTGAAAATAATTATCAAAAATGTGAGATAACTTATGTTATATTGATGTCAACACAGTAAAGAAATTTTGCGACTGACGACTGAAATTCTAAAATTTTGATTGGAATTATTTCTCAATATATCTGCTGTTTTTTTTTGTATTTTGCGTTAAATAATTGTATTTTAATACTCAAATTGTATTGTAATACATAAATTGTATTGTAATACTTAAGTTAAATTTTGACATGGCTTCTATTTGAGAGTATAATTAAATTATAATACAAATGATGACGATATGCAATGTGTTCTATATTCTATATTGAACTTTCATTTGATTAATTTGATTATACTTTTTAACGTGTTTAATGAAAATAATATATATATTGAATAATGTCTAAGAGTGTTTTTTCCAACTGAAAGATGTAAGTAGGTAACCGTCATATTAAGTGTCACTAAACTGATGTCTTTGCACTTTTTTACTATTTTTTATTTCGTGTTAAGATTCTGAAACGAAATAATTGTACAATTAACTTCAATTGTTATCGTCATTTTATATGATGTCTCCAATTTTTCTATTCTCATTTCATAAAGAGTTTAAGTCATTTTCTCCACTCATCCTATCTCATTGTACTTATTATATTATAACTTTATTGTGGTATTTTATTAATAAATACAAATCCAATAATTTGTGATGTTTTTTCTTTGTTACGATTCGATGAATTTTATTACAAGAAACCCGCACCAATGTTCTAGCCCAAGCTTCAATAGTATATTTTAGTTTATACGTTATACTTGGCAGTAAAATAAGTTAGGATTTGGAATATTCTTCATCACTCCGATAATCGTGAAGTATTTTGCGCTCGGTCTTTACAACGGTTTCAAGTCGCTAAGCATTGAATAAATGACTCAATGCTATGATGTGATACATGCTGATGACGGCGATGGTGATGAATCTGATGTAAGTTAAATAATGACAAATTAATTTATTAATAAAAAAACAATTATTCAAGCCAGAACTATGTGCATAACATGAATATTTATATTTTAACTTTCAAAAATAGAAGTTTGATTTGGTTTGCGACAATAATGTCTCAAAAATTTTCAAATTAGAAAATTCTGACATTAACAATAAAAGCAGATAGATTTACTATCATGTATGTATGAGCAATAAGATTAGTAAATTTACAGAACTTCAAGATGTATAAAAACCTTACAAAAACACAATTCACTGGTCAATTGTATCTCTTAATTTGAAGCATTTTTAATAAACTATATTAGTATACTAAACGAACAAGAACAAAAAATATATAGTAACTTATATTAATAGTAACAAAAAGTTCTTAAGTATATGAAACATTTTTGTTGAAAAATGTTAACATCAGTAAAAAACTGTAAATGTTCGAACATCACGACAATTTCCGTTAATTTCTTTCCGAAACCCTAAGCGTCCAAGATTTGAGCGCTATCACTGTTAACTTCATTTTCTACCACTCCTTTTTTTAAACATTCGCCAAAGCCGATTTCTTCATCATTAAGTCGGGAGTAGGTGCAATCGTCGAATATTTTGTTAACTTGGGCTCTATCTTCCAACGTAGACGAATAAATGTTTGGTAGAACTGAAGAAGTTACCGTGTTGGATATGGAAAAGTTTTCTGAAGTTTTGAAGGTGTCGTTGTGGCTGCTGGTGGTGCTGCTGTTGACGGTACTTCTACCTGGCTCTGAGAAAACATCAGACGTTGACGAACAGTCAGACGTGACTGATGTCACGCTTTTCAGAACCTTTTTCTTGTTGTTCCTGCTTGAAATTATAAATTGAAAGGTTTTTTCATTTAGCGTTACGTAAACAGCTGAAAAAATAGTTTTAACAATTGAAGAAATATAGTTTTATTATAGTTCACCTCAGGCTTTTGCGAGCTTTGCAGAGAAGAACGCTGAGAACAATGCAGATGATGAACAGAACGAACGTCATAACGATGAAGAAGATGAAGAGGATTTCCAACTTGTGAACGAATTAGAAAGTCAAAATTTATAATTAGGATCCTAATATTTTAAATAATTTGTGAACTTCAAAAAAAAATTTTTTATGATTAAAAAATTTACCAATTCTAAGTTTATTAAATTATTATTAAATTATATTTTTTAAATCCGTGCAAACATTTTGAAGCAGCTTACTGGCGTGAAAGGTCTCTTGTTCAGTTCATCCGGCACAGACACATAACTCAACGTGTTGTTGTATTTAACAACATCCAGTTGTGGAACAATTTCGCAGTAAGCTCCAGAAAAGCCACTGGGACAGAAACATTTTGGTTCGTAGGATGTCGACGTGTTGGTAACCACCGACCTGCATTGGCCCTCGTTCTGACATCTCGTGTACTTGCATACGATGTTCTCGCCGCACGTTGCGCCTGAATTATTGAAGAAACATTTTTGAATTGACAAACGGATCTTCAAAATCTTTAACTATTGAAATATGTTTTAATAAATCTACACGTGTATCGTTTTCACTACCTTCAAATGCTTTATTAGGAATATAAAATCCTACCTGCGAATTCATTAGGACATTCGCATCTGCCATTCGTACAAATTCCTCCATTCTGCAAATTGTGTTGAATAATTGAATATTAAGCAAATATTTTCTGTGTCAGAGTCTCTTGATTTTGATAATTAAAAAAATATTACTTGGTGAAAACTAGAATAATTCAACAAAAGAAACAGAAACCGAAACATTATGGTAATTATTTTCCAAAGCTGCTAACCAAGCAGAAGCCACCGGTGAAATCGCACAGCACAACGTCACACGTGAAACCCCTAACACCTGGAGGACACATGCAACTTCCATCCAACGAACACTTTCCACCGTTCAAGCAACCTACGTGGCACCAGCAATTTCAATAATTTAAAAATATATCAAATTACTAAAAATTAAAAACACGAACATAAATGAGTTTCTATCTAACTAATCTTTTTCAAATTTGGTTTAATAGACTGTTATTTTAAAATTCTAATTTAATATCGGTCTTAAATGTTGTTCACCATTTCACTTTTCTTCCATGATGGGATTTTTGAGTCGTTTAAAAAAGAAATTGCTGCCATAATGGGTTCTTTTTTCCATAGATGTTTTATTTTTGAAAAATAAAATGGTATAAAAAATAAAAAAACAAGCAAGATCACCACATAAATTGAATAACCTGTCTTGTTGCAGAGAGGAATTTCGCAGAAATCTCCAACGAAGTTACTGGGACACAAGCATTTTGAATCGCCATAACATGATCCACCGTTCTTGCAAGGGCTGGAAACGGTGCAGGCCTTTTCAACAAGTCAAAAAATTATAAGTTTTATTACACATGCAACTGTTTTTTTTTAAACTAATAATCTGATTCAAGTGCTTGTTTTTTAAAGATTATGTAAATAATGAACTTTTCATTCAAATAATAATTTAAAAAAATGTTGTTCGACCATTTAAATCCATTTGTACTTTCACCTATTTCATCACAACATTTATTGTGCTGGTTTATTGTTCTACTATTTAAATGGCTAAATTTATTTTTACAATTTTCTTTACAACATCAACAACAACATCATACAAAAAGTTAGACAGCAAAAACACCAAGTCAATGATAACTAACAGTTTTTGCGCAGTTCTTCCCAACGTATGGCTGTTGGCACATGCACGTGTAGTCATTGACTCCATCAATGCACGCACCTCCGTTCTGACATGGACCCGACAAACACTCATTTATGTTCGTGTCGCAGTATTTGTCTTTGTAATACATATATATTCATCTAGTTAATTGTTTATGACAAATAAAATAAGTTTTTTTTTAAATATGCTCTCAATTAAATTGTTTTCAAAAATTTTATTCCCATCCCATCATGATTAACAATTGTAATGTAAAAATTATTTTATAAACTAACAAAATCATCAGATATTAAATGGCATGACAAAACATTTTGAACCACGGACAGACCTGTGTATCCAGGCTTGCACTGGCATGTGTAGGAACGAATGCCGTCAATGCAGAGAGCTCCGTTCTGACAGTTGTTCGTCTCGCAATCGTTCTGTCGGTCCTTGCAGTTGTTGCCTTCGTTCTCCCAGCCTAAAAAAGCATTTCAATATTTCATATTTTACAAATCTATCACTAATGAATTTGTTTAACATTTTTGTGCAAGATCATATTTTTAAAAAAATGAAATTTCTGTTACTACAACACTAACCCTTTAGACAAACTTTGTTTCCAAACGAGTCGCAACTGTAATGGCCATTTAGGCTATCATCATGACCTACGCAATTCTTGGCACAATCATCTCCGTAATAATTGGCATCGCAGTACACGCGGTATGTGAAGTATAGTCTGCCAAAAAATATAATTCAATTGGGTCTCAATTCAACGTTTCAGGTTATATAAGCAAATCAAATTCCAGATGACTTTTGAAAAATTCTTATTAGTTAATTATACTTTTAAAATGGAAAAGAGGATTAATGCTGCTGAGATGTGATTTGTGAGAATAATATTATGGAAATTAGTTGGTCCTCTCATACCTCCAATGAGGATGTATTAAAACAGTCCGGTTATGAAAAGAGGAAATTATTACAAATAATCCGACGGAGGCAGTTAAAGTTTTTGGCCACATCATGCGGAAGGAAGGAATGGAAATCTAACAACTACTGGAAAGATTGCAGGGAGAAGAGATTGCGGTCAACAACGAATTACATTCGTGAAGTCCTTGTGTCACTTGATGAATACCACCACATTTCAACTGCTACAAAGTGTTGAAGATCGGGTTTTGTGGAAGTCGATGGTCACCAGTGTCCTGAAAGGATAAGGCACAAGAGAGAAGAAAACATTTAAAACACTTTATGAGACTAGCAAAAGAGCATAAAAATGTAAAGTAGGAGTTTACTTGGTCCTAATTCCCATGACAGTACTGACAGATACCGCCGACAAATAACTGGCACTTGGTTTTGCAACCAGTTTATACACAAGGCCATCCACGTAGTCGGGGCTAAAACCAAATACACTATCGTCATCAACCACTGACACTTTTAACCGTATGCCTCCCTGAATAGTTCGGAAAATATTTATAAATATTCATTTGGTTTAGTCGCTGCTAAGTTTGCCAATAATAGACCATATTTTGAAATAAGTTTAACATATAAGTAGATAGATCAAGAAGTTGACTCTATTTATGAAACAAAGGAATAAAATGTATCTATGCTTTTTTTAATTAAAACAACATCTAATATTAACACCATATAATAATGTTAAATAATGAAGCTTATTATCTGACCTTCCAAAAAGTGAAGGGGTAGATGATTGGATTGAAGACGCCGTGGTTGTCAGCACCACTTGTGAATGTGTTCGTGTCTTCATTGTTGAATGCTGAAGTCTTCTTCGTCAACAACGGAGTGGTTAGTGGGTTGTCATCGCTACGTTAATTTTTTTATATAAATTTTCATTAAAATGCAAAATATTTGTGTTATAAAACACAACTGAAACAAATAAACATTGAAAAACTCTCTACATTCAAAGCAACGTTCGAGAAAAAACTCGTAAGACCAAATGCAATCTGTGAATTGAAAAACTAGCCCGTACCAACATAGAATTGAATGTTGTTTAAAATGCTCAATCACCCGTTAACGTCATCCAATCCAAACGTGAAGACATGGTCGCACGGGCCGTACCACTCACAGATCTGTCCATTGCTGATCTTTCCGCCTGGATTCACGTACTTCAGGATGGTCCATTCAAGGTTTCCACCGGCTTCCAACTTTTCGACTGCTGCTGCTACCTATTTGTAATAAATTTTCTGTTATTGTAATAGGATGGTTAAATATAAGTTAATTTTAGCAATTATTAATAAAATCAAGAGCATACCAAAATTAGAATAACACATGAAATCTTTAGTAAAGAGTTCATGGTGAATTAATTTTTTGTAGCGGAGAATCAACTTAAAACAGATTATCTCCAATAAATTGCAGAAAAATCTCTACATTCTCTGAGAGAAACGATCAAAAACGAACAAACGTATCTATCCAGAGCAATAATGAATAAATACTCGCAGCCTTTTCTCTCATTCACTTTCCTGTCAGCTGTTTATTGTTTACGTGCCCGTATCTGAAAACAGCCGCCAGCTTTAACACGCGCTGGTGTTCATGATGCATATCTAATCAGTAGTCGAACTATTATTCAATTATTCAACATTCCCTGGCATATTCTAACCTTTTTGTTGTTATGCTTTTTTTGCTGTTTTGTGTTTTTGTTGGCTGCTTGTACGTGGTTTTATTTACGTTATTTTAGTTTTTTTCTTCAGAAGGTTGAACTTGTACGTGATCTGTTGTCTATTGCGATTGGGTTAATAATATTAAATATGGTGATTTTGTTTTAATTATAGCAGTAAGTGAGTAATAAAACGTTTGCTAGAAGTAGGCAAATAAGTCGCGTGTTTGCTCTGCATATATATGATTGTTTTACATTATATGCGCAATCATTGCAATCATTAACTAGTTTGTGAAATGTCAAATAAGTTAAATATAATCAAATTGTAGATGATTCATAACGTCGTCTGAAACATTTTTTTACAATATACTTGAAATAATGCGTACATCTAATATGTATGCTATACACTAGACATCAGTTTTACGGGGGTTAAACATTGAACATTGTTGAACATTGTTTTGATGTTGCTCATTTTTACATGAATGTCTATTTAGAATCAACTCAGAGGATTAGCCAAAGGAAGGAGTCTGGTCTGAAAAATAAAAATTGTCCTAGCTTTGTCGGGTTTTCTGGACAGTAGGTTGCTGTCAACTTTTTCTACCTCAACATGAGATGAGTCATGACAAGTAAAATTTTATAAGATAAATAAATGAGTAATAAAAATGTTCAACCCAGCATATTCATACAATGCATTCGTTGTACAACATACCTTAATTATTTTTGTATCTTATTATCAAGTTAGGCGCGATAGAGCTCGCCAGCCAGGTACGTCACGATGTTGGCATAGTTAGTTGACTGGCACTCTACTCTGTTTATTCTTTCAATATTCGCGTGACTAATTCTTTCTGACTTTAAATTTTTAAAAACTAAATTATTATTCTCATTAAATTAAATTTTAGAGTATTCGTTAGCATATTTATTTAAGATTGTACATGATAGAGTGAATTGAGTTTACGTTTTTTTGAAAATTTATACTCTAGAATGTGCATGTTTCTTTGACATTTTTATTTTTGTATCACTAATTACCATGGATATAATGATATTATTATAATATAATATAACAATATAGTTATATATATTGATAGTGAAAGACTATAGTTAATATATATATATGTATATATTTGTTTGTGTATATATATACTTGCTATAACATATATATGTATGGACTATACTGTATATGTGTGTATGTATAATATTCGTTTTTTTATTGTACTATTTCACGAGGATGTGTTATCAATGTCAACTATGATTTTTCTAATTTTCTTTTTTTTCTGTTTCGGCGTACATTTTATACAACTTGGTTATTTTTATTATTTCTGTCTAGATAAGTGGTTATTATGGCCCTGTGGTCAGTTTTGTCAATAAATAAATAAATATTCACGGTAATATCTGTCTTCAGTGTCTAGTCAAACCGAGAAAGCCTCATACAGTTTTAATGCTTTCAGTCGGATGTCAGAGGCATATTTTATGTTCAGTTGTTTTTGAGCGCGATTAATTTTATTACTAATTGTATGTTGTGAGTTATATGCGAGTGTCTGGTTCCATTTTTAGGTTAGGTTACCTACAGGAAGTTGTGTCATTTTGTTGAAACTTAGATATATTATACGTCTGGTTACAATTTAAAAATAAGGAAAGTTTGCCTCTAGCTCTTATGGTTAATAGACATTTTTATGAGTTTTATTAATTATTGTATGTGATTACTAAAATAACTATTGGCTAAACCCAAATTTTAACTGACAATATCTTGTCTAGCACATATTGAAATTTTATCGCTAATGTTTAGTTAACTGTTTGAACAATAGAAAAATAGTATGATTAGTAGAGGAAACATGATTAGTTGTATTGGAAAAACGCAACAGCCATGCAAGGTAGTTAGTTCTTTGGACGCAAAAATTGTTCAATTCAATAAATCAATATAAAGTAATAAAAATAAATAAGTTTGAAATTTCGCAAAACTGAAATCTTTCAATCATACAAAACTATGTTATATTATATTATATTGCATTATATTAAAAGACTTTTATAAATTGAGGAATTAAATAGAATTAAATCTTTTAACTGTATGTCACTAAGGTATTTGTTAAAGAAGGTAGGTACATTCATCCTGTGAGAACGTTCAATTGTTGTATTACAATGCCACATTGATTCATGCTTTTGATATGTCATCGTATTTTGTATAGGAATATGTTTGCAACGATACAACTTAAATAAATGAAGTGTTAATCAAACTTACGAGTTTTGTATGTTATGAATAAGTCAGATTCTACACTCTCCTCATCATGAAATTTCAAAATAAAAGCATCCAATTAAATGTTTTAATTTAAAAAAAATTTAATAAAATTTGTTTCTGATATATAATTATTTTACAACATAAAATACATATACAATTACACACATATATATATATATATATATATATATATTTATATATAAAAAACCGTTTTCATTTTTAAAATATGTCATTTAAATTTGATTTTATAAAAGAACGTTTTGTTGGCAATTTTGTACCGAACATTTTTCAGGTTTTGGTATATTTCAAACGAAACCAGTCACGTTACGACTAATTGGCTTGATTGGCATTTGTCGAGACAGCAGACATAGTAGAAAAAAATATTTTTAATGACGTAAATAAAATAAACATGCTGAATGACGCAACTGAACGTCAAGTGTTTGGGGAATTTACAACAGTAGGACGTTGAAAAGTTCATATTGGTTTGGTTGAAAAAGTTAAGACTTTTCTGATTTTAAAAACGTGCATAAAAACACAAAGTTTATCAAACATAATCGCAACTGTCAAAGCTTTCATTTCATGCTCGTCATCAGTTATTCATTGACTGCTTCTTTCTCACGCCCGATTCTTATCTTCACAATTAGTCACCAACCAATTAAGCTAAATCTACCTCCATAACAAGATTTTAATTCATTACATCATCATTCCCAGAGATTTTCAATAAAATATTCATTTTATAATCTGTATGCATACCTATATTTAACAAACTTTAGGTGGATTTGCCTGAGGAGATTGGTGCTTAAACTACAAAATTCTTAACATGTGTTTCATTTATTTTCTCCAACCGTATGGAAGGCAGCGCATGTAGGTATAAAAGAATTACATACAATAAAACAATACTACTTTGCATAAGTTCTTTTAGGATCTTCATTAACGTGGCAGACTATCTTAGGTACCGTACTATCCCACATACAATATATTATAGATGTTTTCGTTATTCCAATGTGTTCGACTAAAAAATGTTTCTAATATATCATGCTTTCCTTTTCAAAATGAATGAAGTAGCTACAATGTAAGAGAAGCTCTGACAAAATTGGTTGATTGAATATAATAAATTATCAAAATATCAAACAAATTCTAGTGCGTAGTATTTTCATAAATTTTTAATTAATCAAGTAAATAATTTATCAAACACTTTTTCGCTCAAACATTCATTCAATCCTTCATGTATAAAAATCACCTATAGTTTGTTCTTACTGGCTTTATTGTTATTATGATTCGTTGATGTTTTTATTGTTTTATAGTAAACATTTTTTTGCTGTGTTTGATAAGCGAAACTAATTAAAATAAACATAAAACTATTTATGTTTCAGGTATCAATGGGTTATATTCTATATACATATATGGGGTAATAGAAATGTTTACCCAAAAAGACCATTGAATATAATTGTCCCTTCCCACACGATATATCGATCGAATTTGCAAACATTTGTTTTGAAGATTTTCAATATGGCGTGCTGGTTGGTTGCGTTGCACTGCACGGTTTGAATGAAGACAGGCGATATGGCCGATCGTTTGTGAACGTTTGAAATTTAAAATATTAAAATATAAATGTGAGTTAGGTAGTCCGATATGGCAGATCTTAAATTACGTATTAGTTGTGAAAGTATGAGTTGGTTCAAAAATCTGAGTTTTGTTTTTTGAGAAACAGGCTTTGGTTGTTTTACAATTTTTTTTAATAAGATTTAAAATTAAATTATTAACTAAAAGTTTAACAATAAAAGTTTTAAACTAAAATTAAAGTTTTGTTTTTTTCTTTTTTATGTTTACTTTACGGATTTTGATTAGAAATTGAAGCACTAAAAAGGCAAATCCATCAGATTGGATTATTATTAGTTTTAGATTTAAAAAAAGAAGGGTAAGATGTCAAAGTTCACCAAATCTTTGAGCACAATAGCCCTCTGTTCGGTGGCGAATTTCATAAACTCGGCTGACAGGGTGATAATGCCAATCGCCATCATACAGATGAGTTCTGAATTCAGTTGGGACCTACATGACCAAGGCTGGATACACAGTGCATTCTCCATTGGATACATGAGTAGCATGGTTAACTTCTTACTAATTTTTAATTTTAATTATGTTCCTATTTCAATTCCATATTATTTTTCTGTAACTGTTAATAATAAATACACTTTTATTTAATTCTACTTAATGGTTGCTAATCAATAAATTCAATAATAATTTGTCATATAAACTCATAAAGAAAATCTTGTTCATTTCATGTTATTTAAATTAAAAAATTTTATTCTATTATACTACATTATCACCTTATTTTGGATCTCCTGCTTCTGTTTCAGACAAATAAAATCTTTTTTAAAATTGAATTGAATTTGTCTGAATTATAACATGAATTGGTTTTTCTTATAAAAGTTAGTAGGAGGCAGTGCCCCAAGAAAGTACAGTGGCAAGAAGGTGTTGAGTCTGGCAGTTTTTATTTGGTCCCTATGCACTTTCATAACACCATTCATAAGTCACATGTTTTACTTTTTGGTATTCACTCGAGTTCTCTTGGGGATTGGGGAAGGATTAGGTTGGTGTCCTACCAGCAAACAATATTCTATCGATTATGATAATGTTTCAAATGTTTCATACTAGTCTATGTACTTTTTAAAATTTATGTGTTGTTCAAACATTTGGAATTTAATAATTACTAAGGTAAACTAAAAAGTGTTAATTTATTTCAATGATAATATTTTTTGCCAGGGCTACCAACGATCTTTCACATATTTGCCCATGTGCTGCCCGTAGAAGAACGATCCAAAGGGTTTGGTTACCTGCTAGCACTCGGGTCCATTGGTCAGACAATGGCTACACTGGTCAGTTTGTGCCACATTTCAATGTTTGGTTATGGTTACTTACCCTTTGTTGCTCCTTTGTTTCTGGTTATTCTGATATTTTGCTCGTAAAATCAATGAAATTCCAATTAAAAACATTTCATTGTTTCTGCTGTTTACTCATAAAAAATATTTATTTTATTTTTTAAGAGATGCTGTTTAATTCTATTATATGATATGTTAACTATACAATCATTTGCCTTTGACTAAATAACTTAAATTAAACCTAAACATTTTTTCATACAATAAGCAGAGTCAAAACATTTTTGTAAACTTTTGAGTTACTTTAACATTGTTTATTAAAACCAAAGCATTTTTTCATGAAATTTTTTAAATAATTTTGTATAGATTCAAATGTTTTGTACATGCTCTTACATATGCATTTATATATGCTCATATATACTAATATACATACTCTTTTTGGTACAGATATGTCCACACCTGTATTGGCCATGGATGTTTTATTCATTTGGGTCGATGGGATTCATTTGGTGTTTCTTCTGGTTGGTCATGTACAGGGAAGCTAGGGGCCCCCTCTATGAAGAGGAGTTCATCCAACCACCCAAGGTTCTTTACTCATATTTAATCCACAGTTTGTCAATTTTTTAACTAGTTTTTAATATTAAAATCAATGTAATAAATGGTTTTCAAAATGCAAAATGTCATTGAATATTTTTAATATATAAGATGCATCTATGTAATAAATAGAAATAGAAATCTGTGACACTGAGTTGATGGTTTAGAACACTAAAATATTTTTGTTTATTAGAAAAATACCTCATTCACAGGCTCCTGTGCATATGCAAATTCTAATCAAAATTGCCCATTCTCCTATGCGATGCTTCTTGATTTAGTTGTTTTTGCATATGTTTCTCTCTACCTGAATCAATTGAGGGCAAAAATATAATTTTCTTTCTGATTTGCATATGCTATGCTAATTCAAATTATTATAGTTATAAAAAATGTTAGTAACAAAAAATGTGCTCCATTAATAGTAGTGGTCTTTTTCGTTCAATGTTGATGCAGATATATATATTTCAATCTTCATTTCTTTAAATTGAACATCTGCATTTGATTTATAATTTAGTAAAATATCCCATCATTTTTTGCTCGATTTTCGTGCAAAATTTTACAAAAAGTTTCCAACATATTTGTTATAATTTTTCAGAAAGAAATTTTAATTTCTACAATTTATCAAATGGAAAGCTGCCAAACAGCAGTCCCCGTTGGATAGAATTCATCTGCCACTGGCCACTCTGGTCCATCTACATTGCCCACTTCAGTATGAACTGGTCCAACTACATCATTATGCAGTGGCTGCCCACATACCTGGCCACGAGTCTCAGTGCCAAGAAGCACGAGATCATGTTCACTGCACTGCCATACTTCATGAATTCTGTCATCGGTGTCGGTGAGTCCTTCTCCCAACTCTTTGGTTTTTGTAGTTAATTTGTTTTCATTTAATAACCGAAATTTAAATAAACTCAACCATGAATATGCACATCCATTTTTTATCATTACGCAACAATTTTTCTGATGGCACTATGCCAAAGAATTTTTCATTCTATACATAAATCTATTCTTTTGCATAAATATTTCAAACGTGTTGACTGCATCTGTATATAATGCAATCTAAATATATTTCATGGTATTTGTTAGTGGCAGGTCACTTTGCGGATGCCTTAATATTAAGGAAGTGGACGGTGTTGTCGGTACGGAGGTTGATGACCGTGCTCGGCCTCATCGGGCCTGGGGTCTTCATCATCTTCTTCAGTGCTGTCAACAATCTCGTTCTAGCTGTTATGTAGGTCTCAAGTTGTTTTGATTTGTCTATAAACTGATAATTTTTAACGTTATTCATCTCACTGTAGTTCAAGTCGGCTGGTAATAAAATGATAATTATTTATTCATCAGTTTTATACAATGGTAAGACCAAATGAATTCACACAGGCTTGTGTAAGTACAGGTGTCTTCATGAATTATGCAAATTTAATGTTAGAAAATTAGGATAACCTATATGTTCATTTCTCTAAGACATATTTTTTACATTTTCTTATACTAAATGTTTAAAATAATTTTCTTACCTCAGTACATTTTTCTACATTGACAAAAATTAGGCATGATTTGTAACAGCCGTGGCCGATTTCTTTACAAATATCACACTTTCAAAAGACCAATGTCTAGAATTAAATTGTTTGTTGGTTGGTTTGTTATGAAAGTTTTTTTTCCATGCAGCTTCGTATCATTGTCAATGGGCTTGAGTGCGTGTAACTCGTCGGGTCACCTGAGCAACCACGTTGATATTGCACCCAACCACGCGGGAATCACGTTTGCAGTTTCCAACATTATCGTCAGTTTAAGCCGTTATTGAAAATTGCCGATTCTAGAACAATTTTAATTTGGTCTTTTGTAATTTGGTTTTTAATTTTAATTTAGTCATTATCAATTTATTGTAGCTAAATTTCTATGTTTAAAACAAATCACAAATTAAGAGTAGACATCGCATTCACTGGACCAATTCACTTGACAGGCGACCATCCCAGGAATTATGTGTGGTCCACTGACGGCTCACCTCGTCGTTCAGAGTCACGGCAGGTGGTTCCCGGTCTTCACGATTGCTGCTGCCATGAATTTTGTTGGAGCCGTCATATACCAGAGCCAGAGTGCTGCTAGTCAAGTCTTATAGTGGATTCGTGTTTGTGGTGACGTTGTTTACTGTCATTACTTCGACTGCTAGTGTAATGTCTAATTATAGAAGAATGTATTGTATATATAAACTGTATTTAAAGTACGACCAGTTGAGTGTTTTTTGAAAAAAAACTCAGCACTTCACGAATTTTGTTAAATGTTCGAGATGCTAGAACGTATATTTGCGCAAACAAGTAAAACTGATTTGTTATATGACTTTAAAGACTAAGTTGATTCGGATTTCTGAATTCAGGTGCAATGTTCGTTTTAATTTTTTAAAAATATTAAAATACATCATTTAAAGGCTAAGTGAATTGTGTTTAAATTGCTGATGGTATCTTTCATTTATAAATAATTGTTTTACAATCGTTGATTTAAATAAACACAATAATGTTATATACAAATTTATCCGGTTCCAAAACACAATTTGAACTCTTGAGATTATTGTTCTAGGCGGTTTATAAATCCACCACAATCTTGGTAAAATTAATTGTATTAGTAATTAAAACTGTATAAAAATATTGGTTATGAATTGAAATGAAAATGCATTTTAATGTAAATTATTCCAGTATGTTGCCTATGTGTGGCCGTTTAGGGATGTAAGCTATGTTAAATTCATCCATCTATCACTGTACATACAAAGGTTTTTGTTTAAAAAGTATATTGCTAAATTTATGAAAAAATTAAGATCTTTTTTATTATTAAATTTTTCATTGTTTGCTAATTATATTCATCCCATAAACTCAAAATTATTCATTTAAAATAAATAGGTAAAATATTTTATCCATTTTATTATTTATAACTAATTATTTAGCATGTTTTAATAAAATGTTGACTACAAAACAGTCAGCTTGAGTTGTGTGCAAATAATTATTATTTAACCAGCTATTTGGATTTTTGTCTTTTCAAAAATAAAAAAATACTGAAAATTTTGAATTTACATACTTTAAGAAAAAAATAAAAATTATCAGCTAATCAAATACTCCTTCTAAAAAAGCCAGAGATTCGATATTTTCGATGGCCAAGTCTGGAATAGCATCATTTGAGTCAAATTAAAATCAAATGGATTAACATAAACATAAAGATTAAAAGAATTTACCTATGTCTCTTTTATACACTGTTTTTCTTTTGGCTTGAGCTGTGTTTTCATATGCCTGTTCAGCCAGACTTTCTATGAAAAGCTCCTGAAAATGAATATTAAGTAAAAAAATTTTGAAAATACTAAATGCTTATATCGAAAAATATAGAATGTCTATAACATTAATATAAAACAAGCCATACCAGATCCTTATTTCACTTTTTCAATTATACTAGTAGCACATGCAAGTATAAACAATTCTAATATACTTATTATAGTTATATATATGAATAAAAGAGAATTTTAATGAACAAACAGTTGCTTTGGTAATTAACAGGACAGCATCATGGCTGACCAAGTTGACATCAGAATCTGTCTTTATGATCGTCTTTATCCTAGTCAGTGGCAGTCGAACGATTTTATCTGCCTTTGGCAGATTTTTCAAATCTATTGTTTCTTGGTTAGGTTGATCTTCTGAAACTAACTCCAGTTCATCATCATCATCAGATGGAATATTAAATTCTTTAACAGTTTTTTCATTACTCAAAAGTTCTCCACTTTCTGGTGGTGTGAAATTTTCAGCTGGAATAATTTCATTGTTCTCATCTGCCTCCATTGTTCTATTAATTAATTTATGCATTCATTATATAATTAATTTATATAAAACAGAATATTGAATAAAATACTAAAAATTATATTATAAAACATAAATGTAAATATAAAATTAGCATAATTTTATAATAACAAATAATTTATTCTGGTGCCATTAGCAAATGTGCAACAAGTCTACTAAAACATACAGATATAAATAAGTTGTTGAGCCAGTTAGCAAGCCTCTATCTATCTATCAGCTATCTATACGACTTATAAGTCCAAGAAGTCTAGCAGTTAGCTTTAGCAAGTTTAGTTAAGACATTTAGAGAGTCTAGGCTAAAAAAGACATTAAATTAACTCTAACCTAGTTTTGGTTAAAAAAAACTGTTTTGTTCTTTAGTTAGTTCTATTGCAATTCATCTAATGCTATTGTCTTGCCGTTTGTCTAAAAACTTATCACTTTTTATAGAAAAGTCAATGTTTTTTTTAGGATGGAAATTAATTTTTAGCGGGAAATAATAACTAAAAGTGAATAAATGTAGTTAAAAGTTAATTTTAGTTTAAACAATTTAATAAATATAGATCTTAGACTTATAATACTAATAGATAATTTACAAGAATCTGGGTGTCGGAGTCCAATAACCAGTATTTGATTACTACTCCAAAAACTAAATGTTACTGAATTTTAACAAAAATATTGCTCACAACGTTGAACCTTGACTTGCCCCCGTCCTCCTTAGATCAGTCATAGCATGAACTTATCTAGTTGAGCCCCAAGCAGAGAAGATTTTTCTAAACTGCAACCACCCACCTCCGCAGAGTTTACGTCAGCAACCGCATGCATCTGCATTGCTCATTATCCGCATCCGCACCATATCCGCACCGCACCCGCGAAAAGACAACCCAAATCGTCCGTCTTTATCTCATGTTTAAAATTAGAAGGTAGCAACACTGAAAGGCAATCTATTTACAATATAATTATAATCAGACAGCAGATAATCTTCTGAGAAGCGTCTTTCAATTTAAAAAATTTCTAATTTAATAATTGAAATAACATCGGCTAAAACAACAAGCACAAAATGCGAACGACGATGAGGAACTCGAAGAAGCAATTCATTTAGTACAAAAATATATAATCTATATATACGTACATTTGTATGTTAATTTGTATATAGGTATGTGTGTATCGTATATGTGTATGTGTATATATGTTTATAATAACACTTGTGTTAAGTATCGAAGATAGATACACTTTACACATACATTTTGTATAACACACATGTGCACACACATTTACATAAACATGTATATATGTATGCTTGTGAGTAGAGACGTGATCAAATCAACCAAACATACAACCAATAAATTCGAATGTTTAATAACCACCCATCTATCCAAACATTTATTAAACAAGCAACCAACCAACCGTTCAATAAATCATTCATTCAATCAACTAATCAACCAACCAATCGACTAATCAATTAATCAATCAATTAACCAATAAATCAAATTGAATGAACTAAATGAATGAACCAGTGAGTGAACCAAATGAACGTATATTGAATTATGAACTATGGAGGCGACGGAGAAAAAAAAATTTAGTATGTTTTGTTGGTGTGGTGTGAAGCAAAAACAAACACGTAACAAAAAAATACTGAAAAGTCGTAAGAATAGTAGTCAGTCACCTACTTACAATTAAATTACTCCCAGGGCTCTAGCTTACCTCTAATGATTAATTTATCTCACCTGCTTACAATTTTGTATTTCTAAGTTTTAGGACTTTTACATGTTTCAGGTATTGTATTTTACATATTTTAACGTTTTTAATTTGCATTTTTTGAATAATTAAATTTTTTTTAAACTTTTTTTGTTAGAAACTTCCAACTAATGTTAAGCACTAGCCTACCTACGATTGTCTAACTCATCTCAATCCCTAACTTACCTACGAATAAAATTAAAGTCCGGTAAAGAAAATAGCAAGTTGAAGAGAAACATAACAACGACAACACCGAAAAATGGATGTTGTGTGTGTTGTATTGATGTGTGTGTGCGTAATTGTGCGCGTTTGTACTCTCCAAAAACTTCTTCAATACGGACAACCTCCATCATACCGACCATCATCTGACACGCATCGTGAATTTGACCGGATACTGAAAAACACTAAATCTGAAAAAAAATTAATTTTCTAAAATAAAAACCAAGCCATTGGAAAAAAGAAATAGGCAACTTACCTTATTGGGATAACAATTCACTCCAATCACTCCAAAACATTCCAATCCTTTGTTCAAATTTGAGAACTTTCATGGTACGACGGCAAAAAATTTCCGTCAATATTTATTATTGTTGTTTTCTTCGAATTGTCATCGGAACGATCATCGTAAGTCCACCATCTGAAAACGTGCTGACGCCCACCACAGCCCACCCCTCATCATTCTGTAGACAAGTTTTTTTTTATTAGCAAATTGGTAAATCAAGGAACAAAGGAACGAACTAATGAATGATTAAATGAATGATTGAATGATTGGTTGAATGAATGATTGAATGAATTAATCAATCAATGATTCAATGAAAGAATTAACGAATCAATTAATTCAAGAATGATTTGAAAGATTGAGGGATAAAATAAACAAATGAATGCATGAAAAAAAAAAAAAAAAAAAAGAAACTAAACCTTACTTCAAAAATCGTCGTTAATGTAATCCATTGCACCGACCACCACCATCTGGTCGGCACACAAGATGTCATCCGAACTGCAGTGTCAGTCGAACAGCCAAAGAGATGATTCTTCCTAAACCACAATCATCATACGTAAATCATCATGAGACATCCATCTGAAACGTGCTGACTCCCACCACAACCCTGTAGACAAAATTTTTTTTATAAGGGTAATTGAATGTTAGAAACTTAGAGGCAAAAAATTAAAAAATGAAGATAATGTCAAATAATGTCAAATAAATAGAGTAAAATGTAAAAAAAACATACCGTCGTTCATTCGACTAAGGCAGAATGTTGAATGTCTTCCGGTTCCTACGTTGTCCTCCAAAACTGGTGCCAGTCCTCCTCGAGATTGTTGTTGAAACACAGCCCGTAGAATGGAGAAAGAGAAAATTCTCATCAGAAAGCTTAGCGATTCTTGCGTCTCAAAATGCTTAATAAAAATAATCCTATCTAACTATTCAATTACCTATTAAATTGTTAATGATACGATAGTCGAAAGTTCCCCTTCATTCTTCCTTTTTGCACAGAGGCTCACCGACAGCCAGGGCACCCGATAGTAAACCATTTGCCGTCCGGAAGCCGGTGCGGATAGTAAACTATCGCCGTGCCGCATAGTAAATACCGTGCAGATAGTAAACCATTGCCGTCCGGATAGTAAACCATTGCCGGTACACCACTGGCCACCAAGGCTTACCTCTGACAACGGACTTTGAAATTCAGAGTCTATCGGCTATCATACCCTCAACTTACCTATTCATTAAAGTTAAGCCCTAGTTTACCTAAAATTAGAAGACTCAAGAGCCCAATTCATTAGCCAATCGGCACCCACCCCACCACCTACGTAATGCCAAATGTTAACATGACGTCATTTGCCTATCCTATTTTATAAGTTTTACTTGATTTTTTTTAATTAGACAGTTACAATCATCATCGTCAATATTGCAATGAAATCAAATTGAGAATTTTTAAAATTTTTGAATAACACTTTATGATACTACTTTGTTCAATAAGATACTGTTTGATACTGTACTATCAATTAACCAGTCAATCAACAAATAAATCAATTAATCAACCGTTGAATCAAATCAACTGACCAAACAATCAATCAATCATTTAACTAAAAACTAAAAATGATAAATATTCCTGTCTAAAAACTGATTTTTACTGACTTTTAATAACAACAATGCTCACAACGGGGGTGAGCCATAGCTCTACCGTCCCGTCTCTCCTGAATCCGCCACTGGATGCATATGTGGAAAAAACTACATTAGTAGTTGAATATAGTATTGATAAGAAATACAACTGGTCTTCATTTCGTCATCGTACATTTTAATATAAAAAATGTGCACTCTGTGTTTAATTTTCATCACAGCACCGCAGATGCAGACGACATGGATAAAAGTGATGAACTTAATTGCTAAAATCATTAATTTCAAACCATTAAGCTGCTAATAAAGGCAGAACCGACTGAACATTTGTTCATTTTAAATAGTTGCCTGTCTACATGAGCGTGCAGATGCAGGCAGACGAACGTACACATTAGAAGCGAGTACCTGCTATCTCAAATTATATTCATAGATAAAATGATTCATCCGATCTGTGTGTGTGTGTGTGTGCAGCCTGCAGTGCATAGGTAGGTGAGACATTTTTTTTTATTTGTTTTTACGAACGCGCTTCATATCACATTCTCTGGTCTCTATTTAGATAATAAAGAAAAGTTAAACGTAGCAGGCATGTGGCACTTGGAAAATACCCAACTCCTGATTAATAATACGGAATATTTGTCTAAGGTATACATGCGATAGAAAAGCAAAACATTCGTTATACTTGGATGTGCTGCAGTGTACGTTCCGCGCTGTCTACGCATCGTGTGCGTGCGTGTGTATAATGAGTAGTGGGCAAAGTTGTTTACGTTAACGTAAGTTATTACGTAATCATTTCATGCTTATTATCTTTTTGATTTTTTCACCCATGCAATAACGGGTAGCCATCCCTTGTGGTGCTTGATGGCGTTGACATTTTTCATCGCTTTAGTTATGCATATTTACGTTATAAATGTAATTAACCTGATGACATTTCAATCTGTATTTAATTGCATCCAAAATGATTTAC